GCAGTGAGCGTCCAGCGAAACCTCGACACCCGGCCTCGACTGGCTCGCAGCAAGCTTTCCAGCCGCTGTTACGGCACTCCAAGCTGAGCTCTGCATACTTAGCCCTCTTGTGCTCGTGGGCCTCTTCAATACGATCTTTGGGGGACAGTTAGTTCCAGGATGACCACTTGCTTAGTAGACTCAGATGTCAGCACAATGTTCGGGCAGAGAGAAGTGGCTGTGATGTTGCTTGGAAAGTTAAGCTGTCTTCCAAGGTCGACTTGAAGCTGCCAATCACGAGCAGTGGAGAGGGGAGTTTGTTTGGGGGCTGCCTGGGTCTTGCTGAGCTGGATCGCTGTGCGGATAGAGTTCGCCAAAGCCTTTAACACCTGGTTGTGGCGCAAGCGGTACCGCCCCCCCTCCCCTAGCGCTTTTGAGAAGCTGCTCAAAATGTGCCCCTCTCCTGACACAGCTTACACTCAGGAGGATCTGCAAGGCCCCAGGTATGCAGGTTAGCTGGGCTTGGGAGGACGTCGTAGACCGATTGGACAAGAAACTTGATCTGAAAAGGCTCTGCTTTCCAGGCTCTACTAATAGAGTATTAATAGAGTATTACTCCACTAATAGTCTAATGAGGGTTAGTTGCAAATTTATAGTTAGTGGAATGTCTAAAGTGAACCATCGAAATGAAGTGTTACCAAATGTTTCAGTGTATGATGTGTAAGTAGTTACCATATTTGTCTCTCTTTTTTAGGAGATCCATTGTCAGGACAAAGTCTGCCGTCAAGTCTTCAAGAAGAAAAACTAATGCTCCCTAACTGACTGGATATTCACTCCTGGGTTTGGAGTTGTGCTGTGCACTGTGCATATTTATTAAAGCAATTTTAATAAACAGTTTTAACCATATACTTTCATTTGGTCCTCCATGGGAGGATTTCAATGCAGCAAATGAACCCAATAAGCCCAATAAAAGGATTTCTTATCATCTCAGCACTAATTAATAATTGATGATAATTTCACAAGGTGTATAATGCAGTTCAAAGTTCAAATGAATCAACTCATTCGATTTAGCCAGAAGTGTGTGTGTGTGTGTGCGCGCACTTTTGCTTTCAGACCAAGCTTTACTATCCACTCTCCATCTTCCTAGTATTATCCTGGTCATTTTCAGGGTCCACTTCACATACACACACACATTTGATTTGGCACAGGATGCCTTTCCTGACACATACTGAGAGGGCCGGGACACATTCTCTCTCACACTCTCTTACACACACACACACACACACAAACAAACACCACACACACACTCCTACGACAATCAATGACACGGACACTGAACAGGTGCTCTAGCCGGGGAACGTCTTGCTGTCAGAGGACAGTGCTACCAACCCAAAAATGTATATTTAACGTATATGAACGTTAATTTGACCCTCACTCTAAATGTACTTTGGCTATAGGGAAAGAATAATATCTAACAATAACTTTTAAAAAAAAATAAAAATCACAACATTTTTCACATTTTTGCACAAGAGAACAACAATTTTCACAATTTTCAATATTTCAAGATATATACATATATTTTTAGTATCTAACAATATATTTGAAAATAATTGTTCAGTCATGAAACTTTTTTTATGAAACATCAGGCCACGTTTACACAAAGCCGGGTATTTAGCAAAACGAATATTTTCCCCCTCTCCATTTTCAAAAATAACATCGTTTACAGACCCGCATAAACACGCCGTCAAGCGCCATCATAACTATGCCAAACCTATTGGCGGCAGTGTAGGGGTTAAGGATAAAGCCATTCATGCCAATCAGAATCCTCAGAAACGACAAGAAAGAACCTTAAACGCTGTTTCTCCCAGTTCACACGACAACACATAACCGGCATTTTCAGAAATCTCCACTTTGGCCGGAGTTTTTAGAAATTATCGTTTTCAGTGATAAAAACGGCGATTTCGTGTAAATGAGAGGGCAAAACGCAGTGTTATATTTCACTGCGTTTTCCCATCGTGTAAACGAGGCCTGAAACTGGTCCTTTACACACATTCTGCAAGCAATCACATCATTAACGCATGGCACAAGTTGATTGGCCTCTTCTGATCCTGCAGCCAATGAGACATTTAAGTAGTGTGGTTTTGTGTTTTCTGAGAACAACAATTTTCACATTTTTCAATATTTCAAGAAAATTTTTTGATATTTTGGCATCTATTTTAGTTTCTAACAATATATTTTAAAATAATTGTTTGTTCATGAAACTTTTCAATAAACATGAAACTGGTCCTTTACATGCAATCTGCTAGCAATCACATCTTTAATGCATGGCACAAGTTGATTGGCCTCTTCTGATCATGCAGCCAATGAAACATTTAATTAGTGTGGTTTTGTGTTTTCTGTATAGTCTAGTCCTGCAGCAAGTTCCTCTGAAACCCTCCACCTCCCCCAGCTCCACCTGCCTAAATGTGCCAAGAGAATCATGTTAGTGTATTCATGCAGCAGCAGCTAGTTTACCTATTAGCATTAGCCATATTTGCTCTACAGCAGCAACAGCAGATTTAGTTGAAGCTTTTAAAGCTCAGGCTGCCGCTGCAGAATGTTACAAAGTGAAAAAGGAAAGTTTCGGTTGATAGACATCACAGTATATTTGGCAAGGCAATGACTTGCATTTAGAGGCCACCATGATGAACGTAGCACCAGTTCAAACAGAGGGAACTTCCTTGAGCTTGTGCTGAAAACGACAGTGTCCTCAGAATGGATCTCGAGTGTATCCATGTGATTCAGTCGCACAAGAAGAAGCCACAGGTGACACTTTTATCCAACAGGACCCAAAATGTTCTAATAAGATCTCTTCGAGGTGAGGAATAATTCTAAAAGAGATTAATGAGGCCAAGATATTTTCAATTCTTTTGGATGAAACTACCGATGTGTCACACTCAGAGCAAGTATCATTTGTGGTCCGGTTTGTCAAATAAAGGAGCACTTCATCCAAGTGTGTCAGGTAAAATCAACAAGTGGCAAAGCCCTATGGGAAGTAGTAATGTCCCTTCTTTCAGAAAATGGATTGAACGCTGAAAATATCTGGGGTCAAGGCTATGATAGTGCAGCTAACATGAATGCTAGTTACATGAATGCTAGTTATACTAGCTATAGACCATTTTGCAAGATGTAAACAACACTGGTCCAGAAACACTTCCTGTTTCAGTTTGTTTTCTTTATTTCACATGTAAAGAAAACATCTTAAAGATGTTTGTTTAACTTTTTGATTCAGTTTTATATGTTCTGTTGGTTGTATTTTATCCCAGCTTTTATGTAGTGTTAAAAAACTTAAAGTGTTTCATGCATCTACTCCTTCCCCAAAAGCAATGTGCAGGAAATACTAAAGTGCGGAATGGACAATGAGTTTGTCATACAGTTGAACGGTCATTTTCAAAGTTAAAGCTTGTGAAGTCCAGTCTTGGAAGTTTTTGTAATGAAGAGATGACCGGAGGCAGATGCTGCATTGAGCAGTAGGGCTATCCTTCTACGCTAGGGAGTGCAAAGGCTCCTCAGTGGTAGCTTCTGCATTGGCGTGGCCTAGGCAAAAGACGGACATCAGACCACACAAAGTTATGACGTAGATCTTGCCAGAATGTTTAAGGGGATTCTTTTCGTGAAATACTCCACTGTGAACTGAGAAGAAAGAAGTGAAACCCCCCCAGATGTGGGCATGCGCCAATAATGAGGCGTGCCACATGAACTTATTCACCAGAAGTGAATCAATCTAAACTAACTTTAGCAGGACAATAACGTTCTAGAGCTGCTGTAAAGCCAAAACTATTTCTGTTACTATAATTTCCTATTATCACTGAGCTGCTTTGAAACTTTGAAACAATCTATATTGTTAATAGCGCTATAAATGAAGGTGACTTGACTGGATTGTCTGTGATGATTTGATGGTGAAGAAGAGGCTTCTGACTTGCTATTTGAAGGAGAAAGATGTTTTAAAAATGTTATTTTTTCTTAGTTAACATTAAGGGAACATTACATTTTAAGCATTATGGGATTGTTACTTTTCTTTGAAAATTCACCCCCCAAAAAGTAGCCTAAAAATATTAGATGAACATCCTACTAAAATGTTTCAGAATAAAAAAAAAACATTTAATGAACAAGGTAAAGTATATAGCATATAGTTCTGAGAACTTTCAATGTTAGCCGGGCAATAATGATAAAAAAATAAAAATAAAATATAGGGAATATATTCAGCATTTGTTCACTTACAAAGTAAAGTTAAAGACATTTATATATATATATATATATATATATATATATATATATATATATATATATATATATATATAAACATAAATAAATCGGCCTATATGGTATGGACTGTCCAAATTAAAGCATGTAATTTGACTTTAAAGAAAGAAAGTTTGAAGTTGGCCTATTTATAGAGAAGAATTTAGTTATCATTGGAGTCCAATAAATCTGAAGACTGATAATGGTCATAGTCTTTAATTTATCAATAGGTTTAAGACACTGATTTTTTTTTCAATTATTATTAGCCACTTTTATGTCAATAATTAAACAAAATGAATTCATTTTGATTAGGTTATTTATTTATTGTAGTTGAAAATATAAAATATAGCATATGCCAAATTAAAGGACATAAACTTATTTGGTTTTTATTATGTGTGCGCATTGAAATGAAACTGGATCTCGTTTTTTGGGGGGAAAACGTTCAAGATGACAAGAAATCAACTTTTTTATTAGTTAACTTATTTCAGAGTCAGATTACATGAAAACTAATTCGTGAACGACATAATATAATAAATCTGCCTTTTATTTGAGGGCTTCCGTATCAACGAATCTGAACGAGTGAATACGATAGAGCCCAATCATGGACCTTTGCTTTGTGGTACACTGTTTTCATTGGATTACAGTGGTGATTGACAGTTCCGTTGACCAGTAATATTTACGGTTCTTGTCTGGAGGGCGTCACCCCCGCCTGTCCCATTTTCTGTAGTTTTCGTCCATTTCATATTGTTGCGCGTGAATCGTAACGGGACAACATGGCGACGCAGACGGCCCGCTACTACAGTGAAGGTGGCAGAGCAACTAAACGCCAAAAAACGGAAAGCGAGGGAGGAATGGCGACCGTAAGACAAATCTTTGCTTACATACTCTCAGATTTTTTACAAGAGGATTTGATATGATATAGCTTTAGTTAGCTAGCTGGCTGAAGTAGCGCGAGTTAGCGAACCAGCTAACAAACACAATTGAGCTAACGTTACAACATGCTGGATGTTTGCACCGAACGCATTACAAAAACACAAATGTGTCTAAATGAAATGATTAGTAAGGAAATGTTTGCAATATTCGTGTGAAATATGTATTTTTTTTCACGCCACACATACACGCATATATTCGGTTTTTGTTTCTGAATGAATGAATTCTGATGGGTGTTGCTAAGCCTCAATCATAGATGCACGATGATGCAGACGCTATTAATCACAATCAGTGGGGAAATATTGTGCATCTTCACTCACAACAGACTCGACGGGTTAATAGATATTAAGTTAGAGAATGTGCTTAATTTGTACACGCTTAGGACCATAATGCAAAATATGAATAATATAATTTAGTCTTGTTATAAGTTATGTCTGTGCATAAGTTGTTATTAATTATACCTGTTCACTGGAATTGATGTTTTACAGGAAGGATATGATGACCCACATAAGACCCTGCCGTCTCTTGTGGTGCATGTTCGAGGTTTAGTGGACGGCGTTTTGGAGGCGGACATTGTTGAAGCCCTGCAAGAGTTTGGGACCATCAGGTAATTTTCTGGCTACATATACGTAGGTTGTCCCATACCTTAATTTTACCAGTTGTGAAACGCATTGAGGATCGCCCATCTCCATCTCTCTGCAGTTATGTAGTACTCATGCCCAAGAAGCGTCAAGCCCTGGTTGAATATGAGGATATGAATGGGTCTTGCAATGCTGTTACTTACGCCAACGACAACCAGATCTACATCGCCGGACATCCTGCGTTCGTGAACTACTCTACCAGTCAGAAGATATCCAGGCCGGGTGACCCTGATGACTCCCGCAGTGTTAATAATGTTTTGCTTTTCACGATCATGAACCCCATTTATCCCATTACCACGGTAATGCCCACAGCCACGAGGCAGAATTATTAATGTTTTTAATATAGAAATGTGTATTTTCACAATTCACACTAATATTCTTGTCCTTTTTTAGGATGTTCTGTACACTATTTGCAACAACTGTGGTCCTGTTCAAAGAATCGTCATCTTCAGGAAGAATGGTGTCCAGGCTATGGTGGAATATCCTTTACTGTTTCAGAATGAATATCAAAGCTGGTTGTGTTTATGAATCATTGTGCAGTTTTCATCTTGTCATTTGAGCCCTTTTCCCATGCCTATTCTTATACGATGTGTGTATTAAGAATGTCTTACAAACAGTTTCTATTCAAGCCAATTAACTGAAACTATAGTTTGTTGCCTTCCAAGATTGCTTTAAATAATGACATCTGTAGTCCTGGCACACAAGATTTCCTCTGTATTTCCTTAATTCCTCACACGTTTGATTCCGTTCAGAGCGCCCAAAGGGCCAAGGCCTCGCTCAATGGGGCTGATATATACTCCGGCTGTTGCACACTAAAGATCGAGTATGCCAAGGTGAGGTTCATCTAAATTCACTGTGTGATGATGTTTTAACATAAACAATTCTATCGTAATTTTTCAGACCATTTTGACGGTGATTGAATGATTTAAAAATGTGGTATCAGAGGAACCATCATTTTTAGCCAGTCTTCAAAATCTTAAAAGCAAGAGGTTATTAGGGTTGGGTATCGTTTGAATTTGAACGATTCTGATTCCGATTCCTTGTTTCGATTCCGGTTCCTAACGATTCTCGATTCTTTTAAGAGGCAGGGTCAAAAAAGTTTAGCTAACCTTGCTAACCAACGGCCTTTCTGAAGGAAATAATCCTTTCTGAAGGAAATACTCCTTCTGTAAAAATACTCCTTTTGTCACAAATTTTGCATTTTGCCGAGATTTCGTTATTTTTCGAAAAGTGAAGCCACACTTTGGAACGCCGACGTAAGGTACTCATGTTCGACTCGCGTGGTTATGCCAACACTTCCGGTAGACGCTTCTTCGTTGATGTTGTTCAGCGGTTTCTTCTTCCGCTCGGCGGACTGTGAATATCGAAAGTAGGAATCGAAATTTTAACTTTTGAACGATTCCGGGAAAAACGAAAAGTTAGTCTCGGTTCCAATCGATACTCGATTATCGATACCCAACCCTAGAGGTTATACAGTTAAACTCAAGTTTAAAATACTACAGCAAAAAAAGAGTTTTCAAGGCTCAATTTATACTTTATTGCACCAATTTATATCACTGCCCAGCCAAAATAAAGTCACTGTTTGGAATTAAATCAGCAAATGCTTAATAGTCTATGATTGGATCGTTATTAAAGTTTGGCATTCTAACTCTAATTGATGGAGTGTGTAGGTTTTCATCTCTTAAACAGCCATGTCGGAAGAAACATGGTCATATTCCAGGATGAATATGCCGAGATTCATGAGCCTCAGATTGTGAAATAATGGTTTTGAGGAGCATGTAGAATCATTTTCACATATGAATTGGCACCTCAGAGTTTAAATTGATTGAAAGTCTTTGGGATGTTCTGGAGGAGACTTTTACAGAGTGCTGGACTCTTGCATTGACAAATACACAACATCTTGTCCAAAAAATGTCCTTGATGTTTCTTTCTACATGGTGGTTTAAGAAATGAAAAGCTACACACTTAAAGAACTGAATATACCCAATATCCACTATCTCTACTCAAGGATGGCCATAGGTTATGGTAGAAAGCAAATTTTACTATATTAATTATATTTTTTTCTCTCTTAGCCAACACGCCTTAATGTGTTCAAGAACGACCAGGACACATGGGACTACACCAATCCGAACCTGAGCAGCCAAGGTACCGTTTACCCTACATCTGCTCTGACATTTCTCAGCGCTCTTACTGCCACTGTGGGGGAAATTAGTGGGTGGGATTGGGGCCTCTTACAAGCGCAGCAACGAATCCGCTGTTCATCCCCCTGTGCTGAGAGTTAGGCATACGTCTATATAGGCCAACATCTACACCGCATGCTGTGTATGTTTTCCTGACTCTCTGAGGGCAAAGTAAAAGGCCGTATCTGTGTGATCTTGCTAAGGCTTCCTCCGAATGTTGTCCTTCTGATATCTCACAAGCTTCCTTTTCCAGCAAAGCCCGTCACATGTCAGTAATGTGAGGGGCAAGTGGCTTTTTGGGTAAGCACCATGATTAGGTGGATGGTTTACTTGTACACATTTTATGGTCAACATGAAACTATGATTGAAACCCATTTTACTTTTCTAGGTGAAATGAAATTCAAGAAATGCATGGCGGGGAATGTGATTTTGTTGGAATAATTGAAAAAGGATTGGTGACATTGCTCAAAATGGAAAGTCGTTGTATTGTTCTTCAGAATAACTAAAATAGTAACGTGTTAAAAGTAAATGGGCACACATTTGATTTCATGTTGACTGTTAGGACTAAAACCATTACATGATTTTGGCTGATGGTGTTCGTCACCCAGAGAAATCCCTGTCACAAATTGCAGTTCAACCAACCAAACGGCTTTGAAAGCAATGTTCTTTGGTGCTCACGCCGGCCATTTGCTCCTCACATTCATGCGGTACATTTATAGACCAACACGAAAGCACAGAACCTTCCAGAATATCAAGTGCGCCAACAGAACACTCAGTACATCTGGACACGGGGGACATTTCCTAGATTTCACTGAAGACACAAGTGCCACAGACTTCCAACACTGTTACCAGTCAACAAACCACAACCTGCGAGAACATTTCTCCAGAAGGACAAACACTCATTTTACTCTCGTGAAACTGCAAGACATCCTGACAAATCACGCACCATTTAGCACTCATCACCTCCTACAGAAATGACACTGCCAACGAAGACATTCTTCCCATTGTACGGCAGTACACATTGATGGATTTGGGGTTGTTGGTGTAAGTAGTTATGGCTCCCACACCCATTCAACTTTCTTACGGGGTCAAGAACAAGACACACTCCACTGTGACACACCACCTTAACCTCACTGCTAACAAAGGATGTTTTTGACACGCATCCTCAAGTGACACCACGACACAAATCAAACAGACCTCTTCTCTTCATTCACGTCAGACTGTTGATGTCCACAGACAAACAGCCTTCTCCGAACCTGTCTGTCTTTCTCTGGGCCTCGTCGTCTTTCTCTCACCGTGCCGATCGTTACAACACAAACCCCACACCTACAAATCGACATGCCTCGTCAACAGCTGATGACACTAAACCACTCGAGACACCGAAGACACTGCAGACAACATTCCTACAAGCAGACGCACTGACACGCAGACACGTCAAGTGTTTTTACTCAGTTAAGCTCTGAAATTCTGCCCTGGAGGCTGGTGTTTCAAATACACTCTCTTCCTCCTCTAGACCTTCCCTTTCACGATTCCTCCTCTCTCTTTCTGTCAATATGTGACGTTTTTTTTTCCCTTTTTTCAGTCGTTTGACTACTGTGTAACACCCTCCGTATGATGCAGGTTGGCTTTGTGTCTCTAGTGGAAGTACCAGTCAGTCTGAATTGAGCGTAAATCGCTCCAGCTTTTGGACCTCCGTAAGAAGACAGGCATTGAAATGTGAATATGGAGCAAATGCTGTCATCAGCGGAGCTTTGAAACCCGTCTGAAACAAAGAAGAGTGCTTGGGAAATCAGTGGCATGGACTGGTGGGGGGAAGAAATGGAAAGTTCTTATGTGCGCAATGGAGGAAGACGCTCAACGGTGGCTAATTTACGGCATGTTCTACTTGCCCCATCCTTCAACCCCCGACCCTTACGTTTGTACTGTAAGTAACCCCAAGCTTCTGTTGTCTTGGAGTGATACGCTCATAGTCTAATGTTTCATGGGGATGTGTGACCAAATGTTTGACTAACTTGACCCTTTCCTTTTCAGTTTAGTTTCTTTTGTTTTTGGTCTTCCCTAATTGGCCTCCAAATGTAGTTCAGCAAGGGTGCATTTCTGGGTTGGGTTGTGCTTCAGTGAGCAACATTATCATACTTGTGATCCTCTTGAGGATCCCCCATTTCACAGCCGGAGAAACACATTCTATGTGTTCAGACCAAATGCAAGGCGGCCGCTCTGGGGTGTGTTTCCCAAAGCCAATTATGGTCGCATGTTGCTACCAATAGTTCAGTGGATTATGCAACCATGTTTGGCTAACCATGCTTTTGGCATACGCACCCTTGTACAGGCTCTTTAAACTAGGGATGCACCAATCCGATAATGTAGGGAATTACAAACCTGCGCACATAACTATAGAATAAGTTCTTAATGCGCATGTGAACGCCATCAGCGTTTATCACAGGTTTGCGTTTAAAGTCTGTTTAGAGACATTCATATACATTTTTACCTTACAGTTACTGTAAATCCGGCCAATAGTTCATAAACGCAAAAGGAGAACTGACCCCCGACTGAGCCTGGGTTCTCCCGAGGTTTTTTTTTTTTTTCCTCCATTGGGTCACCTGATGGAGTTTTAGGACGCCTTTAGGTCACTTGAGCCCCTTTTCCACCAAAGCATTTTGAGCGGCGGTTCGGAGCCGGTGCCTGCGCGCGAACCAGTTCTTTGTGTTTCGACAGCCAGAGAACCAGTTCTCGGCCAGGAGAACTGGTTCCAAAGCGGCACCAACTCTTTGCTGGACTAGAACCGTTCTTTTACCACGTCATGCTTACGTTGGGGGTTGGGGTGGGTTTAGATGTGCTATAAACATCTTTTCTGACCATAATAAAGGATCGCAAATCCAAGAGAAACATTTGCAGAAACACAATGGAGTCCGCCTTTGTAATTGTTATGCTTGAAGTTAGCGCAAGCGTTTCTATTTTTGTAATTTTTTATTGAAGACGTTATAACAGTCACAATATAGAACAAATAAATGGAAAGAAAAAAAGACACAAGACAGGGGTACATAACTTATCAGAAAAGATTACATATCAAACCAAAAGATTAAAAGACTTGCATATTTCAATTGTTTTTAAAGCCTTCTTGGTACACGAGTTAGAGATATTCCCAAAGTAATGTTGTACTTGCAAGCGTTTCTAGCTAAGACGTGTGGCGACATACACAGTGACGTAACAACGTCGTTCCCTGGCGCTGTAGTCAGTGGAAAAACAAATAGGTTCTGAAGCGGTTCGCAAGTTGAACCAACTTTGAACCAGCACCAGTTCCGAACCAGTTATTTTTTTGGTGGAAAAGGGGTATAGAAGGAGTTTTTCGGTTCCTTGCCACTGTTGCCTTTGGCTTGCTCAGTTGGGGCTATTCAAATTAATTAGTAATACCCTTGATCAGCTCTATCAAACGTGTATATTTTTCCACTAAGCAATGAATATTGTTATTATGATTTGATTGATACTGTGAAGCTGATTTGCTGTAATCTATATTGTGAAAAGTGCTATACTTGACTTAATAATCGGTATTGGTATCAGCTTCGGAATTGAAATTCAAACATATTTTGCTAACCATGCTTTTGGGATACGCACCCCTGTACAGGCTCTTTAAACTAGGGATGCACCAATCCGATAATCGGTATTGGTATCAGTTTTGAAATTGCGTTTTTTGTTTTGTTTTTTGTCGGGTTGGTTATCGGTCAGACAGGAACTTGCGGTTGTTACTGTTAAGCTCCACAAAAGGCTAATAACATTATAAAGCAACATGCGTTTTGTGCGCTATATTGCAAGTCTTCTGAAGCCTTTCGAAAGCTTAATGTGGGGAACAGACGAATATTTATATCGTTACATTAAAGTTCATGGTACGCAGAGTAGGAAGTTTGAGATCAATTGGAATGGTTGACTAAAGCAAAACCACTGAGAGTATATTGACTGATATTTTGATCTATTTTTGGGCTAATTCATATTTTAGAGTGGCTAAAGACTGGTAAAATTGGTCAAGTGACATCCCTGGTAATTAGTGGATTGTGTTAAAAGCCTAAAAGATCAAAATCAATCATCAGTTCCACACACACTCGGTATAGATATTCTTCAGTGAGCATTCGACTGGGATTGGTGTCGGTCGATATTCAGTATTTTGGGAATCTGATCTGTTTTATTGGTGCATCCCCACTTTAACTTAAAGTTAAGTTCCCCCAAAGTATACTTCTGTTTTTATGCGTCCGCAATGGTATTTTTTTCATCAATAAGTTGGTCAACACTGTTTCACAGACGTAAAAAAATCAACATGAAGTGGCAACAACTACTTTGTCTCATATTTCGAAGGCTGCACCCTCCGGAGGTTGCGTTTGTTGGCTGCGTACGTCATTGAGAGCCTCATTTTAGAAAAGTAGCCATTACACTCCAAAATATGAGAAATTGCAGTAATATTTCCCTCAAAGGAGCAACTCAATTTTGTGAAGGTTACTTTTCTGGGTTGAGACATAAGACGCACGCAGCCGAGGGCACAGCATTAGAAATGAGATGTGCTTATGCGAGGAGGTTAAGAGATACCCAGAACTCTAGTTTAAATGAGTGCGATGACATTTGTATCTGTTGTAACCTCTAGAGAGAAACCGTGCAGACATTAGACGAAGATGACACTTTCAAGTGCATACGTTGGCCATCTGTGTTCGAGTACAGTGCCAAATAGAGTATCCTTTGAAACGCTCTGTGTTCATACGCCAAGCATCAAAACTGAAGTATACTTTGGGCTTTAAATCACTGGTTGAGGGAAGAGAGAACTTGATTACCGCTATATATTTATCATTTTCAATGTGTTGCAGCTTTTGTAATAAGCAAAGCAAATAAAGGCATGGTGCCCTACACATTTAAGTTCCTGAATAGAGTAAGAACCCTGTAATGTGATTGTTCATAAATGTCAGTGAGATTGATGTTTGCACTGTGTGTACCTGAACAGGTGCAGATGCTGATGGCAATGGGGGCAATCAAGGTGTGTGTCTGCATTAGACAGTCTGTCCTTCCTCCCTCCCCCCACTCACACACACTCCCAAACATATGACACCACACCACATGGTCACTGCGAGTTCTTCGCTCTGTTGCTTTATTATGAGCTTGATTGGGCTGGTACACTGCAATAGAAAGACCGCTGACTGTTTGTGAGTTGTAATAAATAGGTCATGTTTAATGGGTGAATCTCATGAAACCTGTTGTAAAATTTTAGAGAGAAAATGAAAATATACTTTTCAATAATTTTCCCATTGTGGATATTCTCATTGCCGTGATGCAAAAAAACTCATGCCGAAATGTAAAAAAAATAAATAAATAAACCCAACAACCTAGTTTTATTACTACAAACATAGTAGTATTTTTGTTGATTTTAAAGAAGTTACTTTACAATGTTTTTTTTACTGTAGCCCTCAAACCGTATTCACTTTATAGCCCTTAATCCTGTAATTGTGGACAAATGTGAGCACAGAGGACTCAGGTGTGATCCTAATTTTTATTTATTATAAATGTTATATGACTGTCTTCGATAAAGTTTTGTCTATCCATTTATGGTGTTTTTTTTATTTTGGGGGTATTTTTTTTTTATTTATTTGCTTAAAAAAGTACCATATTTTCTATGTAAATTATGCTTATTTTTATGTTTTATTTTTTAACTACATTAAAATACCATTCCAATAAGTTCTTAGAGCTAAAACCTAAAGATGAAGTGACTTTGCTGTCACCTGGTGTCTTATTTTGGCTTGTTTTAGAATGCTCTAAATTAGTTTTTCCCATTCATTTCTATGGGTGCCCAGTTTTGACCCAAATACAAGATTAAGGAGTTTTTTTTTCACCCACTTAACATTGTAGAATTGAGTAAAAAAAAAGTGTGTGTGTTCAGGAGGCAAACTTAGGAAAAGTAGCCAAGTCTTGTACCGCTCAGATCAAGGAAACTATTTTTTAAAAATACATCAAAACTATTTTGCCCACATTTGTCCAGAATACGGTTTTAGGGTTAATGTAGTAAAAAAAAAAACTTGTTGTAGTAAAAAGAATCACCTTTGATAAGGATTAAAAAAAACTCAATAAAAAATGTTTGGACACAATAAGATGCATGATATACCATACAAAATTGAATGATAAAATCATCAGAACGAATATTCGTAAAGAAAATGAAGTCTATTTTAAGAAATATAAGAAAACAAGAAATCTTTTTTATAGATTTCACCCTTATTTCCACCCAACACCTTTGTTTGTTGTGCTGTGTCCCCTTCTCTGCTGATCTTAAAGCACGCGCCAGTCAAATTACCATTAGAGTCGGTGTCCTGTCCTGTCGCCTCTCAGCGAACTCACCTTTCACTCTCTCTCCTCCCTCTTTCCTTTCTTGGCCTTCTTTCTTCTCTCGCCTCTCAGATATGAACGCCAATCCCAACAAGCGCCAGAGGCAGCCGGCTCTGCTAGGAGACCACCCTCCAGAGTATGGTAAGCCTTGAGGGGTACACGCGTTTACACATTTAACCCATTTGCTCGCAAACGGGGGACTGGATGTTAAAACGACAACAAATTGGGGAGCGTTTATCACAGTGGCAGCAAGACGATGCTGTGTTGACCTTAAGTTTTAATTTAAGCGAAGGGTGTGGATAATGTTTGTTTACTCCGAACCTGCCCACAATCCCTACGCCACATGTCTTTTTGTCGTTTGTGGGTCCTCAGGAGGTGGTTATCACGGATACCAAGAAGAGAGCTATGGTGCGCCCTACGAAGGGCGACGGATGGGGCCGCCCATGGCTGGTGGGCCAAGGCGCGGTGGGACCAGTCAGCGTTACGGTGGACAGTACGGCCCCCCGCCTCCGCCTCCAGGAGAATATGGTGCACACGCAGACTCACCAGTGATCATGGTCTACGGCCTGGACCCCGTTAAAATAAACGCGGACAGGGTCTTCAACATCTTCTGCCTGTACGGCAATGTGGAACGGGTACGCACAGCAGCAATACGCGAGTCAGACACTGCCGAAATGCAAACGGCTTTATTTGAAAGCCCATTTTTCTCTTCTGAGTGTAGGTGAAGTTCATGAAGAGCAAGCCTGGAGCTGCCATGGTGGAGATGGGAGACTGCTATGCGGTGGATCGTGCCATCTCGCATCTCAACAACAACTTCCTGTTCAATCAGAAGCTCAACGTATGGTACGTTTCGACTGCAGATTTATTTGTTTTGCAATAGTGGCAGTTGGATCTTACATGATTCATCACACATTCAAGCCTAATCGGATGAACCGTTTTGAATATTTTTGACAATTTAGATTTTCATTTAATCATTAAAGGCATATTACAATTGTGGTGTTAATACGAATTTAAACTGAAAATATATTTTTTACAATATGGTAATATGTATAGAAAATGTTCTTGATTGTCAAGATTTTAATTTTTTTTTGTCCTAAGTCTTCAGTAAGTAAATTGCAAAATCTTTTATTTTATTTCATCTGATTATGGAGTAAAAAGACCATCACCTACCTTTCAAAAGTTTCAGGTCTGTAAGATTTTTTTTTAAATGCTTTTGAAAGAAATATCATACCATTTATTGCATCACAAATATTACACTTTAAAATAACAAATTTTGATCTTAATACATTAATGCACTTTAATACACTCTTGCTAAATGTTTTAATTTCATTCAAAAAAAGAAAGAAAAGTACTGACCCCAGAGTTTTGAACAGTAGTGGATCCAGTTCCATCATAAGACTCAAAATGGTCCGATACATGCAATCACACAATTACCGTAAGGCTCAAGCTGATTGGCCTCTGCTAATCCTGCAGCCAATACGCCTTATTCACGGCAGCGCCATCTTTGATTTTTAATGAGAATGAAAGCGAGGCTGTGAGGGATAGACTTGCATCTCTTCAATGGGCTGTACTGTTATTTAATGTGTTTTTGGATTGTTCTGCTCATGAAACACTGGAAAAATATCTTTCCAAGAAATGTCAGTTGACAAACTCCCGACAATGTAAGCTGTGAAAAATTTTAAGTGATCTAGCCGCTTTATTCAGCTTTTTACGCTAAGTCTATCCCTCACAGCCTCACTTTCATACCCGTCATGGCGCTGCTCTGAATAAGGTCTAAGAGATTGCTTACTCAACATTGAATTATTCTGGTGTAGTGTTTTCTGTAATCTAGTCCTGCAGTGCGACTATCAGTTCCTTTGAAACCTAGCCTAGTCCTGCTATGGGATTCATGTGTCTGCATACTTTCTGCTGCGTGTGTGTGTGTATCTAATGCCAGTAGCAAGTCCATACTTGCTCTCAGGAGCAGGCTGCGTAATTGAGTAATTCAAACGTTTCATCTGTTTGTTTGTGTTTCTCTGTGTCAGTGTGTCTAAGCAGCAGGCCATCATGCCCGGCCAGTCCTACGAGCTGGAGGACGGGACCAGCAGCTTCAAAGACTTCCACGGGAGCAGAAACAACCGCTTCACTTCTCCAGAGCAGGCGGCGAAGAACCGCATTCAGCACCCCAGCAACGTCCTCCACTTTTTCAACGCAGCACCTGAGGCTTCACCAGAGTCCTTCACCAGGGTCAGTTCATCACATCCGGGAATATCACTAGCTTTCATGTCTTATGATGATATTTGATGTCTAAATTTAGTACCTATATCTCTTTTCAGATCTGTGAAGAACTGGGTGTAAAGAGTCCTGCCAATGTCAAACTTTTTGCAGCCAAAGGTATTGTAATAGGAAAAATCGTGCCGTCTTTGCATTGTAAATCATCGCATAGAAAGCCAAACTCAACGAAACCTCATTTAAAGGTGCATTGCGCAACATTTCATGTTAAAAATGCCTGTTTTCCTAACCCATACGTGCTTAAACAATTGCCTGATGGGCTGAATGAGTCCTTCTCTGATCTTTGTGATTGCCTCTATAATCCTGTGCAGTCAAATAAATAAATAAGAGATTCGGGACGGAATTTGAGACTGGGTGTGACGTCAGGCGCGTTCACACTCGCCTATGTCTTGCTGGTTTGTGTATTTGCCACCATTCTCCATATCAGCGAAGACAACTTGAGTCAACTTTCGACAAAAGTAGATGATCGATTCAAAGAGATCAGCTTGTAGTTCGTTCCAAACACCTGGTTGCAATTTTGCTTGTCGCCAGAGGGGGCATAGTTCTGCAAATCTTGCGCAATGCACCTTTTAAGTGCAGCCTGTGTCAGTTTTGTGTGGGAAACTTCTATTGCCCTCTGTTATGTCTCTAATGCCTCTTTTTTGAACAGGTTCCACATCAGAGAGGAGTTCATCAGGGCTTCTGGAGTGGGAGTCTGTTAATGATGCCATGGAAGCCCTTGCTATGATGAACCATCACCAGATGAAGAACCCCAGTAAGTGACCTCGTCATTAGTGGGCGACGGATTTAAAAAAATAATATATAAATGTGGATGGCCAATGCTGATGTCTTAGCGAGCAGGGTGGACGCTCACATATGTAGTGCCACACAAATTTAAAGATAGTAAAAATGCATAACAATTGCTTAAATTAAGTTGATATTTTCTTAATTTGACCATTAACTGTATGCAGAAAATAAATTTAACTTAATAGCTAAATCTGTAAACAACTTTAGAAGGCAGCCTCTTGATTCTGTAATCCTTTCTCAGTATGTTTCACAAATAAAAAACAAGTGAAAATGACGTGAACGTGATCGCAATCTTTTAATTAACAGATCGATTCAAACACCCATGCGTTTTATAGGAATAAGAATAACTAGGATAAGTGACAACAATTCGGCTCTGTCTGTTAAACCTTCAGCAAGCACAATCCCTCTGATTCGGATTCCAGCTGAAAACTCATTTCTGAGAACAAGTCCTGGACATGTGCGGGTGTGAGTTCGGTCATAGCATGCGGTTGTAAACAACTCTAACATAACCGTATAAAAGACTCAAATACAGGACTGACAACCAAATTCTGCGGCTGTGCGAATGTGGTCAGCGAGGCATTGAATCGTTCATTCAAAATCATTTTAAAAATCATTCAAATTAATTATTAGATATTTTTTTAAATAGGCTGCAGCAATTTTGTCAGAACAAAAAAAAAAAAGTAAATTACCATATCTAGTTTAGGCTGTTCTACTTTTTAATAGTTTAATTTCTTTGTTTTAAAGTTCTATCTAATAATTTATATTAAAAAAAAAATAACCATTAAACCGAGAACTAACAAAGATGAAGAATAGGAGCAAAGACAATCAAGCACTGGCGTTCTCAGTGCTGTCAAAATAAAAGTCCCATATCCATCGCCAAAAAATTAATTATTATCATCCAATGACGTTAAATGCCACGTATCAGCCTTGGAGATGCGTTTATCAGTTGAATTGGTTATATGATGGGCACCTTTGATGGAAGTGACTTGTTAGAAATGGCAATCCCAGAATGCATTGCACAACCAAACTCAGTAAAAACTTGTGTTCAGTTTTATTTTTTTTAAGGAAACTTATTTTGTTCTCACTTGGTTCACACCCTTTTCCAATGGCCAGTCTGTAGTGTGTACTCATCCTGTGTTTGTGTGTTTCTCTGCACAGGTGGGCCGTACCCATACACACTTAAGCTGTGCTTCTCTACCGCACAGCACGCAAACTGAGTCCCAGGATCATCGCTCACCCATCACTTCACTTCCCTGCTACTTTATTGTCCTTTATGGCTCATTTGTGCGATTGGGTGTGCAGAGATGTTGAGTTAACCTTATGTTGATTGAGCCGCAGCACAAGCTGAGAGTGAAACTGACTGAACTCACTGTTTTTAATGAAGAGGAGTTAAAACGCTTTTGTACCAGTATTTTGGTTTTGTTACCTTTTTTTGTTCTTTTTTTATTTCTTACCATGATCGACTGTTAGCTCTGTGCTCAGCAACTCACTTTTAGAAATGTCACCCTGTAAAGAAGATTGCATTTTTTTTTTTCTGATTGTAAAATAAAAAGTGATTATGGGTCTTTGTGTTGATTGCTTTTGCAAGGGAACAGTTGTGACTCGTGTTTTTAAATGTTTTGCAGCAGTTCAACCTTTCTTTTTCTTTTTCTTTTTTCTTCAAAAAGCTGCCTGAATGTTACTGCATAGTGTATATTTGCGATCTGGACAATAAAATGTAATCAATTTAATAAATTTAATCTGCGTATTCGAAATTGGCTCGCTGCCACTTGCTGATCAAGTTTGCACATACATTTACAGAGTTTCATTAGTCATTAGACTTTAGATTAGACACAAACTCATGGGAATGTAACGAAATGTTAAGAAGTCACTGACATTTCTTTAGTTATCCTGTGCATGGAGACCCAGAAAACCAAGTTATCCACTGGGTTACTTTCAAATTAAAGGATTATTTTGCAATGCATGGTCATTGGGAAGGTCATGGAAGTTGATCAGAAACGGTAAGAAACACTGATGAGATAAATCATATGATGTCTTGTATAGCCTTGTTACTAGGTGAATAGTTTATTTTGCAAAAAGTAGTACTGTAATGGACTGTTTGCTCAAAAGAGCACAGTGAATTAAATTCACACGTTTATGGGTAGGTACGCTGACTGGATTTCATTGAAATAAAAAAAATATATATATACAGAATACAGTAACGTTAGATAATGTTCCAAAAAAGTAAATAATTGTATATACATTGTGACTTTGCTTTCTCAAAATTGAATAAACTCAATTCTAATACGTTTATTGTCAAAATATTGAATGAAAAATAGTATAATACTAAAAATACGCTTTATGACCGTCTATGATCTGTTAGTCTCATACATACACTGTAAAAAAAGATGGACGACGCAACCTCGCCATTTTCATTGGAATAATAATAATGTAGTGTAATGTAGGCTAGTGCTAATATAAATAAACGCATGTTATAGTTTTATTAAATACATACCAAGCCTGGCCCGTTTATTGAAGCTAAATGGTGACACCTGCAGTCACAGTTCAGTAATAACGATGAAACAGGATAGATAATGTTCCAAAAAAATAATAACTTTATACATTGTGACTTTGCGTTCTCAAAATTGAATAAACATTATTAACGCCAATACGTCTACGTATTTTATTGTGAAAATATTGAATGAAAAGTAGTATAATACTAAAAATACGCTTTATGACAGTGGCAGACGCAACATTGCAGCATACTCCGGAAGTGCAGCACGCGCATGAGCGGAAGTTCAACGTGATCATGTAATTGTGCTAGAAAATTCCCCGGATATTAAATGTATTGCGGACGAAGGTCAGTAGCGCACAAACAGAGCAAGCTTCTGTACAGTAAGTCATATTTAAATAACAGAAACTTCAGCTAGTCAAGTATCTTTTCTGGAACTTGTAAATTAATATAAAATCAACATGCCGAGAGGAAGCCGAAGCAGAACTTCGAGGATGAGTCCTCCGAGGTGAGTGTTCATACACAGAGAGAGAGAGTGTGAATGTGTGTATGTGATTATTGTGTGTCAGTCAGATACTTAGCCAACTGTATAATTCATCAACAAACATTACTGTAAATAATCATTGACATCTACAACTCCACAAGACCGACACAGTCTCTTCGTTTTAAACATAGCAGTTATTCTTGTGACTGTTGATGGACAAATAACCTTAAGTTATATAATCATTAAATTGTATGAACGAGATGACTTTGGTTAGGAACTAACGTTATTTGTTTACGGTATGACATTTATGGGTAACACTTTACAATAAGGTCCGTTAGTTAACTACATTAGTTAATATGAACTGCACATATACAGCATTTATTGATCTTTGTTAATGTTAATTTCAACATTTACTAATATTTTATTTAAATCTTGTTAACATTAGTTAATGCACATTGAACTAACATGAACAAACAATGTATTTTTATTAACTAACGTTAACAAAGATGAACAAATACAGTAACAAATGTATTGCTCATGGTTAGTTCATGATAGTTAATACATTAACTAATGTTAACTAATGAACCTTATTGTAAAGTGTTACCCATTTATGATACGATCATAATCTATGATGTTTTAAGTTGTCTGCTGCTCCAAAATGTTTCTTTAGATGTTTAGTGTTTTGTGTAGAGATGCACTGATATTAACATTGGTGTTTTATAATTCCAGAATACTAAGTTTTATTAAATTCTTTAAGTGTTAGATGAGGACAACATTTATCTAAATGTAAAACATAGAGGTAATGAACAGGCAAAAGTAAATAGTAATTAATTGTTGACTAATTAATGTTAATTTTAATTTTTTAACTAATATCTGTGATAATAACCTTAAATTTTTTTTTCCGCATTGCACATCCCTTTTTGTTCCCTAATTGGTCAAATCCCCATAGCAACCACCCAGTGCCCCCTAGTAACCCCCTAGAAACCACACAGTTCACCCTGGTAACCACCTAGCAACCATCCAGAACACTCTAGCAACCATCCAAAATATCCTAGCAACTGAATATCTAATTGATAGATGGCATGGCCTTAAAATCTTGCCTAAGCTTTTAAAAGTACGTCAGTCTTTTAGCCAGGCTTTCTCACACCAACAACAGAGTTGGTCTTGAATAATTTAACTAGATAAAAAAAGCTCATCATGTTTTTAAATATTAACATTGAGCATTAGCGGAGGACAATTATTTTTTGTAAATGTAAAAAAGATAAATAAACAGGCACCATTAAATGTATTAAAAATGAATTGTTAATGGCTAATAAATATCTGTTGATAACTCATACAGTACCAGTATGTATATTTGGTTTGGTATGTTATGTATGTATAATTTGTCGAACTGATTCACAAAATGTGTTTGATTCAACAATGAGCCAATATAACAATTTTCTAGCAAATTAGCAATCAATCACAAATGATGGAAACGGCATGGATATCATTGATCAAAAAAGTGTGAGAACCACATTTAAAGGAACAGTTCACCCGGAGATGAACACTTTATCATCATCATTTACTGAGTTTCTTTCTAAAATACAAAAGATGATATTTGGACAAAATGTTTGACTAAAGAGATTCAGTTCCCATTGACGTCCATTGTAAGGGCAAAAAAAAATAAAATGAAAGTCAATGGGAGGTCTGTGATTGTCAACATTCTTCAAAATATCTTCTTTTCCGTTCAGCAGAAGAAAGAATTCAGGTTTGGAAAGACATAAGGGCGAGTAAATGATAGGGATTCACCGTTATGAACATTTTGTCCGATACCGATAATTCTTTATATTTGAAAGCCGATAACCGATATATTTGCCGATAAATCTAAATCCAATTTTTGATATATCTTTTGAGAGCCTGATTACAAAAACAAATGTCTCATCATTAAAAGTCATGTCCCAAACACACAAGTATATGTTCTCGTTATTATATTATGTCACCGATATGTCAGACTTGCGCTGCACATGATGCGCTGAACTGCATTTTACTTTTTTGAAGTGATTCCAATCATATTTCAAGTAATTCAAAACCATCATGATGAATCTGAAGCGTCTCAGCTGAAGGAAATAATCCATTATTTATGGGCTTTAATATATCGGCCAAATTTTCTTAACGGGCCGATATCATTAAAAATGAACAAATATCGTCCGATACCGATATGTTTGCCGATATATCGTGCATCCCTAGTAAATGATGAGAGGATTTTCATGTTTGGGTGAACTAACCCTTTAATAAGATCTTGTAGTCCAAGCACTTCTGATAATGACTGTGTGTTTTGACTACAGTTACTCATCCCCTCCACCGATGGCTCGCCCCGCTCCTCCACGGTCGTACGCCCCGGCGCCCGCCGCCCCCCCGCCCTCAGCAGTGTCCGCTCCCGCCGCGGCTCCCCGCCAGCCGGGGATGTTCGCTCAGATGGCCACCACGGCAGCCGGCGTCGCGGTCGGCTCTGCCGTCGGACACACCATTGGTCACGCCATGACCGGGGGCTTCGGGGGAGGGGGCGGTAGCTCAGAGGCGGCCCGGCCTGACGTCACCTATCAGGTAAACACCAACCCAAACTTCCTGTTTGAGTAGTTTTGCTCGGGGAGAGCCCCTTCTGGAAAGCTAGGGGACTTTAGCATGGCTTTAAAAGACTGCTTGTTATGGGTCATATACTATACAAAAGAAAAAGGAGCATATTATAATGTCTTAATAATGCTTTAAAAGAAAATACTGACATGTTACACTACTGTTCAAAAGTTTGGGGTCAGTACAATTTTCTCTCTTTAATGAAATGAATACTTTTATTCTGCAAGGATGCGTTAAATTGATGCATTAAAGTGACATTTATAATTCTACATAAGATTTCTATTTTAAATAAATGTTGGTTTTGATGGCTGCTGTAAATTCTGCTTTGTGTTTCAGAAATTCATTACATTTTTGAAAAGTAGAAAAGTCATTTTAAATTGCAGAAATATTTTCAATATTGCTGTTTTTGTTCATCAAATAAATGAGTGAAGACTTTCAAAAACATTGAAAAATCTTACCGACCCCAAACTTTTGCACAGTAGTGGATGTGCGAACTGAATGTGATGTTTCTGCTCACTAAATGAAAATGTATTGTAGTTTAAATTTATATTAAATGCGATCAGCTGAACGTTGTGGGTTTTGCATTCACTTATAAGTATTTCTATATGTAATTTCACAATTACTTCTATTGTCTTTGAAATACAGTTAAAGTTTACAGTTAACCTCTGAACTGTCACCCCCCCCCCCTTTTTTTTGAATAGACATGGAAATGCTCATTTCAAACTTAAATGGTTGTAATTCAAGAATGCTTTGGAATATAGACATAAGATTGGTCTCGTTTTAAAGAAGACATTTGGCAGATTTTTTTCGAAGTGAAATAAATTAGGAAAGTGAAACAGAAAAAAAGTTATAGAAGTTTGAGTTTATAGAAATGTACAATGTAAAAAAAATTATTATTCATATTTTATATAAAATATATATTTTCAAAACCTGGGCTACTCTAAAACTGCAGAAAAATCAAAGCCAAAAATCTGAACAAGTTGTGTTTGAGCTTTCAGTGAGATTTAGTTTGGGCGCAGTACCAAACTTTTTCACTAGGGCACAACCAGACTCCATTACTGCCCATATAAGGGCGTCTCCATTTCCATATGTGTTTTGAGTGATCTGAACCATTATTTTCACAAATTTCACACAATTTATGACGTAGAAATCCTATTCAGAAGTAGTATGGGTAGTTTGGCAGATTTTGATATGAATTCAACCTCTAGGAATCACATACACAGCACACGCATGCGTGTTATAGCTTATTGCCATAACACAAGGTGAATCTATTTTTATTTTTGTAATATTTAAAACATTTTCAGACCTTTTTTTTCTAAAATAATCAAACTGAGGTTTCTAAATTTTTTTCATGATTTTTCATGTTCATTGCTATTTCAAAATAAAGGTCTGAACAGGCTTTATGAGTATGAAAATATTCTTGTTGCAAATTGATAAATTATGGCTCCTGTGTAAATTATTTTGAAAATGAGATTGTAAGCTTTCAAATGATATATAGTTTGTCAATATTACTTAAGGTCTTTTCTAAGATATTATTGTTTTAAAAATATAATGGCAAGCGTCCCACCTGTGGGACGGTGACAGTTAAATAACTGACAAACATTTTGAGTAAACTAAAATATACTTTAATGTCATTTCAAATTAAATTTGTGTTAATTTGTATTAATGTTATGTCTTTAAATAAATTTGTAATTTCACATTAGTAAAGAAGTTTAATATACAATTTTAAAATGTATATTAACTGTAAAAAAATGTAATATCAAATAATAAATATCTTTCATGTGCTTTAGTATATTAGTCAAAATAAGTGTACTTCATTAAAATATAACGAAACATTATTACAACGATTTAAGGGAAACTTTTAAAATGGTATTAGTTTTTTAAGGGCCCGTTTTAAAAATGCACTTAAGTGTGTTGGTCATAAAAAGTGTAATCCGTGATTAAAGTCTGCTCAGTAACACTGGGATGCACAGAAATGAAAATTATGGATGTGCTTAATGTTTTTTTTTCTTTCTTATTCCTATCAAATTTACATTATCTGTAAGTAGTTTAAAAAAAAAGATATACTTAAATATCTGAGGTACACTACAAGTGCATTTCAATACATTTAAGCACAGTTCAATTTCTAATATTTGATTAGCTGTGAAATTGCTGTTTGTAAGTGCATGCTTGTATTCTTTTAATAATCTTTATACAGTAATTATGGATGGCAAATGAATGTTTTAAATGATATAAATCTCTTATGTCTGGTTGATCTGGCTAAATAGTTGTAGTAATTCTGCTTTTAAAATGTCAGAATATTGAATGTAAGAGAAATGTTGATTGTGTGTGTGTGCGCAGGAGGCTCAGCCGGCGTACCAGCAGCAGCCGCCTGTGTTTCAGCAGGAGCCGCAGCATCAGAGTCCCTGCGCTTACGAGCTCAAGCAGTTCATCGACTGCGCTCAGAACCAGAGCGACCTCAAGCTCTGCGAGGGCTTCAGCGAAGTGCTCAAACAGTGCAAGTTCTCCTACGGTATGTACTCTGCACTGGGTAGAGGCAGTGATGGGGAAAGCTATGCACTTACTTTCTAAAAACGTAACTGATTACATTACTTAGTTACTTTTTAGGGAAAGTAATGTGATGCGTACAAAAGATATCTTAACATCACGGGTCGTATTTTGTTAATTTTGAACTTTTTGTGTGTTCACGGAAACACAGACTAGAGGATTCCTGCCACTGTTTTGACTACTTGACACATTTTATGATCCCTTCATGCGTCCTCGGCTGGTAAAAATACCATTGTATGTACGTTACGCACGTTCAAACACTCGCATTTAGCCCAGGACACATAATAAAAGCAGTTTTTTTAAAAATTCTTATTAATTTTTTTACTTTTAGGTTCTGTGTAGGGCTGCACGTTTTCAAGTTTTTCATTAACCGTTAACCGAGGCCCTTATCGGTTAATACTCGGTTAACCATGTGCGCGCCGCAACCTCGAGATACAGAGTTAATTTTTAACACCTTTTTAATAACTGGTTGGACCCCATTTGAAACGAAATTAATTTATAGAAATAAAACGCAGTGGTAAGTTCAGAGCAGTTAAAGTAGGCGCGTTTCCATCACCCTTCAAACTGAAATTGTCCATTGAAAATACGCACATTGGCAACACGTCCATTTCGCAAAAACTCCGTATCCGCAAATAATTCATTATTTTAACATTTTATTAGGCTGCATATGTAGAAGACGCTTTTATCCAAAAAAGGAACAAAGCACAAATAAACACAATATTTTGACGCATATCCAGTGTGTGTGCTTAGTGTGGAGGCTGCGAGACGCCCATGTGAACACTTTCATTGCATTTCTTTCAGTGGAAACAACTTAAAATACTCTTTCATTTCTGGTCATACAGAAAATAATAATACATTATTCGCAAATACATTTATTTGCGTAAACTCACAATGACAAGAAAACGTTGTGCTTTAACAAACAGGCGCGCTTCATGATTTCCGTGAACTGAAGCGCGAGAACTGAAACAGCCACCGCATTCGAATTTGTTCGTTTTAAATTGGACATTTAAAACGAACAAATTCGAATCGAAAGCCAATATCTTCTGACTATCTAATTATAGTCAGCTAATTATGTATTTCTCTCTAAAGGTGCATCCGGGGATGGAGATTTGTTTTTAGCAGAAACTGATTTAGAAAACAATAGTTTATTAATAAACAATTGATGCCTCGTTATTTTATATTATTTTATTATCAGACACATTTATTATATCTTATAAATCATCTATAAATCCCCTTTCTGTAGGCTGTGGTTACGGCTCTTCTCATTCAGCACTGCGGGGAAAATATCATTTCCAGGTTCTAATTTGGCCTCAGAAAACCAGTAAAATCTTTTTTTTTCCATATTCATTTGTCAAATATTTTAAATGTTTAAAGGGGCAAAAAATCAAACAAATATCTGAAAATTCGTCGATATATAGCCTATATATTTTTGTGCAGCATTTGACCTACAGTTCAAATTAACATTTTGGTGTTCAACTCTGCGTTTTACGAAATACAACCGTTCATTTTTCGTTTTGCAATTAGCCCTACGGATTAAATAAGGGGAAACGAATAAACACAAAAGTACACTGACCGTTTGGACATATACGAGGCTCTTTTTTAAAATTCATAAATGATACATGGAATAGCCTACTAGACAAAACCTCAAAGAAATGCCACAGGAACTCTGTGACTGTCCCTGCCATTAATGCTTGGATGACACACCACATCTCCTTTTATAAATAATAATAATGTTTAGTGCGGTGGCTGTGATAGACTACCAACGTCCGTTGCCATTATTTTTGGAATGGCTTATCGCGAAAGGAAAAAAAAATGTTTTAGTCGCATAACACCGTTAATAGAAAAGCTGTCATTTCACAATTTTTTTTTATCGACAATCAGAAAAAAAAAACGCAAAAGTTTTGTGCAAATATGTATATGTATTTGAGCAAAAAGGTTTCACTCGGTTATCCAATTTTAAACGGTTAATCGGTTAACCGGTTAACCATGGACACCCCTAGTTCTGTGTTCTAAATAACTGTGAATGCCAAGCAAACCAGGGGCCTGTACCATGATGGTAGTTGAACAAACTCAGGGTTACAGGATTAGTTTCGAGTTGACGAAACCAAACCAATCCAACCAGGCTTTGTTGGTACCATGATGCTGATCATCAAATTTCTCTGTCAACTCAGGCTTCGATCCTGAGTTTAGGTGTGACATCAGTAGCGAACTGCCAATCACATGCTGAGAAAGAGTGAAACTCATTTAAAACTCATTGAAATTAATTTCTCGCGAGAGAAGTAGCGCAATTCACTTATTAAATAAAAGTATTAAAATATTAAGAATTTAAACAAGTTTACACAGCAGGAAGAAAACAGCTGTCTATGAAAGAGGACAACTAAAAGAAAGTCTCGCTACTGTATATCAGTGCAAGTAAAAGTTGTGAAGTTAGAAGGTATAGAGAGAATTGAACATTTAAGCGTCATTTTCTAGCTTCATTTATTGATTCTAAAGCGTATTTACATTACCTTTATATACGTATTCATTTAAAATCTACGTAATGATAATTGATGAACTGAAATTGCACATGTGAGATCGTTTTATGGTATAATAATTACAGAAATAATTTCTAAATCATACAAATGTATTTACTAAAAGCCAGGATTTCTTGTTATTTAACTATGCCTAAATAAATTTAATTTCACATTCTAGTTTCACATTTAACAATTTCACATTTAATTTCACATCCTTTAACACTTGACTAATAGCTAAACCTAGTTTAACATGAATCATTGCAGTCTACATTAATTTGCTCCTACAACATTGCTTCTCCACATCTTTTGTCCTTTATCTTAGTTTTCAGAGGTCACTGAAATGTTTATGGGTTGTATTTTTCTAAAGTAATTCTTTTTTTTTTTCTTTGTCACCCGACAGGAATGTCATGATGTTTGGATTGGAGACATGCACTATTCCACAGCCGTTCATCTGCTTACTTCTGGAAAAAGTCTTCTCTTAATGCAACTCAATTAAATATTAGCGCCTGCGTGAAAATTAAAAGCACCCTGGGAGAAATGCTGTGTACCATGTGATGCATAGTATTTATGTAACTGGTGTAGATAATTTCAGTTTTCAGATTTCTTTGCACGAGTTACTGTAGAAGAGGCCACAATGTGTATTGAATGATATTCTTTATCAATATATGTTCTTATTGAAAATGTTAGATTCAAGTTATGTGAATTGCAAATAAAAGGATCAGAAATATTTACATGCTTTTTGCTATCTTTTTAGAAATTTACAGTGAAATTAATGCATGCTGGGTAATTACTGTGAATTCACATGATAAAGTTTTCTTTAGCCATGATGCCACTGTAAGAAATTATGTAGTTTAGTAGTGGGATTGTTTTGAAGTCACCATAATGATGATCAGTGTTCTGTTGGCTTGGGGTCTTCTTGGAGTCTATTAATATCTAGCTAATTCAGAAATGTGACAAATAATAATAATAAAAAAACTGTTGTTAGATTGAAAGATAAAATATTATCATGAACATGGAAACTTTGTTTTAATATTATATAAGCATGAATGTTTATTCCAAATTCATATCTGTTTGTAGATAGACCTTTCACTACAGTGAAGCAACTGCTGAGATTACTTGGCATACAAAACACAAGAAAATAATGAAAAACATTTATACAACTTAAACCAACATTACACCATAAACCAACAACACAAACTGCTAAAACGGAGCAAAAATAAGTTCATCAGGCCAGAGAAAACCTTTTTTTACAGTCTATGGATAAAACCAACAAGAATCAAGAAACTCCACTGCATAATTATTCATGCCTGGGTACCACATATTGTAGAAATACAGTATGTTTGTTTACAATAAAAAATCCAATACTGTAAACTGTAAAAAAAAAAAAAAAAAAACACTTTTTACTGCCATTAGATACACACACACAAAAAAAATTCCACTGTGAAAGTAATGCAAATATTAACCTGGAATATACTGTAATTTTACACTTAAATGTTTAACTGCACAATATTCATTCAAATGTTTAGCATGTAAGAGTGATAATTATGTTAATAGTAATTAATTTAGCAGATGCTAATACAGTATAGTAATTCTTAAAAAAATAATCAGTTGTCGATGGATTATTGTAACAATCTTTTTAATTGATACAGAAATGTAGGTGTGGGCTGGTTTTCTTTCTTGATATGGAGTGTATAACCGTAAGTGGTAATACGATATGCGACTGTCCCGTCTTTAATACGGCTTTTTTATTTTTGGATCTTGACATTCACGGTTGCCCTTTCAGCGCAGTGTGTGTGTGTGTGTGTTGAAGGCAGCAGAGCCGGTATATTCGTTCAGGAAGCCTGGAACATGCACTGGACGAGCTGAAGAGGACGACTGTGAAACAGAGGGAATAATACTCGAACAGGTTTACTGAGTGTTGTGAATTCGTGCTTGTAATGTAATTAATCCTCTGCTCAGCTTTCCGTCATGGCGTCCATGATGCTGCAGCCTCACACTGATGATGATGATGCTGCGACTGTAAACATCGCTGGTTTATATGTTTTGCTAACCAGCTCGTCGTGAATCAATAGGTTGTTAAATGTCAAAACTCTGCAAAGAATAACAGCGACACGGAAAATAAAGCAGCAGACTGTGCAGCTTTTATGAGCTACTAAAAGTAGTCAGATGACCACTGTACACTTATACCATGGCATGGCACATATACGAAATGGTATTGCCATTGTTTAGAAAAACAAGGTTACACTTTATTTGGTACTCCTTTATTTTAGCGTCCTTGTTATGTTACATGTAACAGTTAGTTAACCCTTATGCTGCATTAGGGACATTTTTGGTCTTTTGCAGTTTAATTTCTTTGACCATTTTGGCTGTTTTAATGCAAATGGTATGAAATTTGGCAAAATTGTGACTTTTTGGATACATGTAAAAAATGTGATCCCATTTTGCAAAATATGTATAACACACACTGTGTAGATCAAATAGTAACACTCAGCACCATAAAGACCAAAAATGGCCCATTGAAACCCATTAAAACGTTGTTTAAATCTGAGGCTGTCAGTAATACATGAAACATGATTTTTGCACAAACATCCTTTCATTTTGAAGCAAAAGCATTATATTTGCATTATATAGTGTATTCCACCAGATGACGTCACTACATATTTATTCCGTATGGGTGGAAATGCACCTTATTTTAGGCAATAGGCAATGTTTAATAGGTGGCCATTTTTGGTCTCTAACGCGCTAAGTGGGATTTTTGCAAAGTGGGACTGTGATAATCCAAATCTAAAGTTTTCTCTTTGCATTTAGTTGATTGAAAATAATTGAATTTTTGTGTTTTTTCCTCTTATACAAATCGATGGTTTCGCAAACAAAACTGGTAATTAAAGGGTTAAAATCCTGAAATTGAATACATTTTTGGTAGTTATGATGAGGACTGATGCTGGTTAAAAGAGTTAACTTGGTAAAAGTGGAAAATAATGATAATATATAATATTTTAGGCAATGTTTAATATGTGGCCATTTTTGGTCCTTAATGCACTCAACGGTGTTAAAAATCTAATGCAGCACAAGGGTTAATGACTACAAATAAAATTAACCCTAAACCAAACCCTAATCATATATTAGTATGTAAAACCCAGGTTACATTTTATTTCAAGGTGTCATTGTTACTTGTAATTATATATTTAAGTACAATTAATTACATGTACTTACTATAGGATTAGGGTAGGATTAGGACATGTAACAAATGTAACAAGGACACTGTGTTTCCAAAAGCCATAAGCACAGTAGGAATATGGTAATACTGTACCCTTGTATATCTCAAAGTACCTCGGTATTACCGTCTAATATTCCACTATACTTTTTTTTAGTATTAGTTAAATTAAATTTGTATTATGTTGTGGTTATTTTACTACATGTTATGATTATTTGATTTGGTTATTTTTTTAAATCAACTTCTAAACATTTCTCCTGACTTTATCAAATGTTTGTCTGAACTACAGTATGTTTGTAATAACCCAGTTTTTTTTTTACAGGTGAGGTGCTAATAATGACCAAAGAAGATGAAATTCCTGACTGGGCTGGAGCACAGGACTTCTATGAGAAGTACGATCCAAAGGAGATCCTGGGAAGGTACTGTCATATTGTACGCACACTTCAGTGAAGATGACCATATAATAAACCATATAATAAAGCCTTTTGTGTTTTCCCCCACGGTGTAGTTTTTTTGTTTTTGTTTTATTTTTTACTATCAATAAAAAAGCCCATTGCTCTGCATTTCAATCCTCGCCTCACAACAGGATTTTCAGCAAAGAGCACAATTGATTTTTCATGGCCCATCATTGGACAATGTAATGAGATATATACTGTACGATGTAGTGTTTTCTTCAGAAGTCTATACTGTTGATAGTATTTCTCAGGGTGTTTGTGTTGCAGAGGGGTAAGCAGTGTGGTTCGACGCTGCATCCATAAGCGAACCACTCAGGAATACGCCGTCAAAGTCATAGACATCACGCCATCTGATAAGATGAGCCCTGAGGAGATGGAAGAGATCATAAACGCCACAACAAATGAGATTGACATCCTCAAGAAAGTGAGCGGGCAAGAAAACATCAGTAAGTATCCAGGAGGTTAGAACAGTAGCAGCTTTGAAGCATGAAGGTGACGTATATTTATATCTGGAAAGAGTCTCATGATTCCAACTCATTGTTTCTTGCTCCTCCAGTTCAGTTGAAGGACTACTTTGAAACTAAAGCCTTCTTCTTCTTGGTGTTTGACCTGTAAGTATTGATTTCATACTTCATATATTTTATGTGTATATACAGTATACAGTACATTGTGCACTCTATATGTACAATAAACACCCAAAAGTACAAACTTTTCACATAATTTTTTAATTAATAAAATTAGTTTAACATTTAAATATGATACTATTTTAAAAGTAGTTAAATGCAATAAATATCATTTTCAGGATGAAGAAAGGAGAGCTTTTTGATTATCTGACGGAGAAGGTTACGCTCAGTGAAAAAGAGACAAGGTTAGTATAATAATTTATAATAAATCACATGAAACCTGTCAACGCGATATATTGATAAGATTGTTTTGCGTTGTGACATTATTTTCATGACAATTTTTGTCCCATTTCCTCCTCAAATCTCATTACGTTTTTGTAAAAATATATTTTTCTCAATGTACATAATGAAAGTATTCATTGTACTTCCTTTAAAGCTGCAGTCTGTAGCTTTTTTGGGGTTAAAAATGATACATTTGATATGATACATACCAAAATACATTTTTGAAAAAATACATAAACCAGCCAGTGTTCAAAACTACCTGCTTGCCGTAGCTCGATTCGAAGCAGTACGCGTGTAATAATGTTTTAACTCCAGTGAATATGCAAATGTAAAATGGAAAAGACTTTGTTCGGACTTCGGAGTGAAAAAAAGAGACTGCAACCGGACCCGTGCGAAAACAACGATGCATATCGGAAGGACAAAATGTAGTCACGCAATGTTGAACATTAACAATTTGAGAACAAAGTATAGTGTGCAAAGTATAATTTGCATGTGATATGATAAGCGAATGTTAGATTTAATCAGCGCGTTTTACTGCAATGTCAGAACCAGAACAAAAGTGGATGTTTCTTACTTGTTCAGATGACATTTTCCGGTGAAAATTGGTCATTCTTCCAAAAAGAATAATCTGTGATTCTGAAAGCCAGTATCCACACCGGCGCGGTGACTGACAGCTGCACACTCTTCTCAAACATCGTGTTCATCCACAACTCACGTAAAGTTGATAATTCCACGAACAACTGCAATTGCAGATTTCGAACAGAGATGGCGACAAAGAGGAAAAATCTTTAACCTATGCATACCAAAGGCTATCCGGTCACGACGCAGAGACAGTCCCAGTGGATAGTGGACGCTATTGCGCTAGCTTACTGATGGTTCCCCATGGCCTTCTCCTGGGCGTGGTCCAGGGAAATATCCATTGGCGACATCTGTACAGCGGCCACTTTCACCAGGTTTTACACAAAATGTCTCCTTAGACTCCTTAGAGCCCCTTAGACTCTGGCAAATGCCCTCGCCCTTGTTAGCCTAGCCTTGCTGCTTTCGGGGCCCTTATCCTCAAGTGCCTTTGGCGTTATTTGATTGCTTTCCCATAGCGTCTCTACGACACAATACTCGTTCCCGTTATCTCAGGGAACTGAGGTTACGTTAGTAACCGAGTGTAACCACCGGACCGTTAGGGCACACAAACATTAATTGCAGGTCTATGTATTTATTCAATGATGCGATTGCGAAGACTATCGATCAGGGCAAACAATATGTTGTATTGTAATAGATGTAAGGACGAAACTATCACAATAAACGTGAGTTCTATGTCGATAAATATACAATTGGTATCTGAACATCGTAATGTTATTTTCTGTGTATTTATTATTGTACATTCCTGATGTAGCCTTGTATTAGACACTCAATTTTTTATGGTCTTTTTTTTTTTTTGCTCAAACTTTTTTATTAATCCAAATGATATTACAACACAATAAATTATTAACACTTTTTTTTTCGCATAAAAAACTAAACATAAATTAAAAAAATAAATAAATAAATAAACAAAAGTAATAAAAATAATAAAAAAAGAAATAAAAAAAGAAAAAAATTATCTATATATACACACACACACACACACACACACACACATATATATATATAAATATATATATACATACACATATAAGAAAATGGCATACATGAGTGCGCACAGACACATTTAATCATGTATTAACCAGGAGGTAGGGTTTTAAGAGATTTAAAGTAGTCTATAAAGGGATGTTTATCCTCTTTTTTATCTAATGACAATCACCTTTAAGAATAATTAAAACCCAACAAGTTATGCTAACTCATTTCATTTGAGGAAACCAATTGCCTCAATTCATTTAAGTTTATAAAAATCAATAGTTATGAGTACTCTGAACTTATTTTATTCGAGTTAACTAAAACAATAATATTTCTTAAAACAATTAAACTTTACACTGCATTTAAATACTGTATATAGCTGAAACTTCACTTTATTGAGTAAAAACAGTGAAATGACAAACTTTAAATGAACTCCGAGCACTTGCAGTTACTGCTAGCTCACAATATTACACACAAAGTCAAATCCAATGAGTTAAACTAACTCATTACATTTGAGGAAACCGATTGCCTCAATTCATTTAAGTTTATAAAAAAACAATAGTTATGAGTACTGTAAAGTAAATAATTTCAGTTGAGTTCACTAAAAGTAGATATTGCAGTCAAGAAATTAAGTGATTAATTAAGTGATTGTTGAGCTTTAATGATGAACACCTGCTGTTAACATCACTGAAGGAACGAGAAACACAAGAACTACTTCTGACTTCCAACCACAATATTAGATGAAATCAACTGAAGATAAAATCTTTAAATCTCTCAATATTTCAGCATGGAGGATTGAACAACTCCGCAGCTTCACTTATTACTAACCAGTTTGACTTTTATCATGCGTCTACAGAAGTTGTTATTGTAAATGAACAGAGGTTTAGTTGAAGATGATTTATTGAGTTTCATTTAAAGACACCATGAACGTGGTCAGTGTTTGCTTTAGTTGGGCTCTTGACCCCTGACTTTATAACACCAGGTTTTCCTCTGGCTGCTGTAACTGAGTTTTTATATAACACATTTGTTATGGCACAAAACCAAAAGAAAATTTAGTTTTGATGATGATTTATGGAATAATGAATCATCATTTGGTGTCTTGATTCTCTGATAATCTCAGATTAAACAGGTGATATATAACTTGTATTATTTATTATAAAAGAACTGTGATACTGCTGCAAGGCCCATTGTTGTTTCAATTAGATTAAAAACCTCTATGGTATCCTGCTGACTTACAAAGACATCAAGAATCAGTATATGAATCTCAACAATGGTGACCGTTAAAAAAACCGATTCATACTGCAATGCATGCTGGGATCCATGTATAATGTATGCTGGGATCCATGTATAATGTTTTTTTTTTATTATGGTAGTACCCAGCATGCATTGCAGTATGAATCGTTTTGTAATTGTCACCATTGTTGAGATTCATACGCTGAATCTTGATTTCTGTGTTAGTTTTGGTAATGAATTATATTTTCTGTAAAATCTTTCATACTATCTCATAGTCATAACATTGTTAGTTCTTATGTTGTAGAATCTATTTTCAAATACAACTAATAAAATAATCAGAGATTAGATTCTAAATGAGATCAGTGAATCAAGTCATTAAGTGATGATTGTCATTATCAAACCTTGACCATCATCACCCAATCATACTTTTCCTTGACTTTTGTACCATGTAATATAACGTCTTTTTGTGTCTTGATTTGAGGGTGAAATGTGACCTGGACAAGTTTTCGTGAAATTCACCCTACTGTATTTAGCATGGCTCAATTTGCAACAGTACATATTGCATATTTGAAGTGCTCTGTTTTCATTTTGCAGGAAGATCATGCGCGCTCTGTTGGTGGTGGTTCAGTTCCTTCACTCGCAGAACATTGTGCACAGAGATCTGAAGCCGGAAAACATCCTTCTGGATGACAATATGAGCATTAAACTCACAGATTTTGGCTTTGCTGTGCAGATTTCACCAGGACAAAAACTCAAAGGTAAATTCAATTCAATTTCATTCACATTTATTCGTATAGCGCTTTTCACAATACATATTGTTTCAAAGCAGCTTTACAGAAAATGTATGTGTGTCTACATTACAATTTTGAGTGATCTGTTATAATCAGAGGTGACTGTATTTCAGAAATGTACATCTAAGAATCACACAGTTAGCTAACATCATGTATTAATTTTTAGGCATTGAGGAAATTAGCTCATTGAAGTTATTATTACAAGTTGTGAACATAGCATTGGTGCATGTTGATTCAGAGTTTGCTTCATCTGAAGTCCTCGCAGGAGTTGATAGATAATCATGTGCATTTGATCTGATATAACTTGAGTACAAGGTTATGAGAGGCATTATGTGAATGCTTGGCTAAAGAGATGTGTCTTTAATCTAGGAGAGTGTCTCTGAGACCTGAACATCATCAGGAAGCCTATTCCAGAGTTTAGGAGACAAATGCGAAAACAATCTACACTCTTTAGTGGACTTAAATGTCCTTGGTACTACCAGCACAGTCAGTGGAGAACAGGACAGGTGTCTTGGTTATATGTTATATATTAATTTTATATAATAATAATTATTTTTTTAAGTGCAATATGCTCTTTAAATGACACATGATATGATGTATTGCTGCAACATGTAAAAAGAATATTTTTAAAGACGCAACTTCATTTTAACACTCTCATGTTAACCAAATCTGCACACAATGTCTCAAAAGAGACCACAAGAAGGCTCGTTTGTCTGTTACAAAAATAAAAATTTTCTATATATTTAAAAAAAAACTGCATTTTTTTTGTACGTACAGGATTTGCAATTGTCAGAGAGTTCAAATACATTTTAATTCTTTAGTTGGATTTGTGAGTAATAATAAAATAAAATGTAACTGGTTTTGTTGCGTACATAATATCTTAATATCGATATTTGATCACAGACTCCTGAATCTAATTAAATAGTAATCCTATCAGGTCACGTTTTGTGGTATCTGCAAATATTGTATCAAGAATCACGAGACGATCTATAATATCAGATGGCATTGATGAAACGTCCAATTTACACACCTACTAGCTGACTGCCCCTTTGCCTATAGAGAGACAGAGAGAGAGACAATTGAAATTTTATTGCGTTGTGATTCGTTTTTGTAAGAAAAATATCCATATTTATGACTTTATAAACTAGAATAACTTAACTCGGGATTTCTTTCGTGAGAATCAAGATGTGCCATCTCCGAACCCAGACCCCTGTAGTCTTGAGGATTAGTAATTACTGACAGAATTTACATTTTTTGGTTGAACTTATCCATTTAATGTATTACTTTTTTTTTTAATTTAGAGTGAAATAAGAACTTGACATGATATTAAAACAGAAACTGGTCATATGTACCATAACATGCTATACATAATGCATGTTATGATGCACAAATGCAGTACTAGATAACATGTTTCATTATAAGACCTGTGATCTTGTGTTGTCACAGAGGTGTGTGGAACGCCAGGCTATCTGGCTCCAGAGATTATCGAGTGCTCTATGGATCCTCACCACCAAGGTTACGGGACCGCCGTTGATCTGTAAGTAGCGGACAGGCTCTTCATAGCATTTATATGAGAGCCTATATTGGTCTATATGAGACAAACTCATGAAAACAATTCACATTCAACTTTTAAGTTGGACTGAATCGAGAAAAATCATTGTTTTTTGTTGTCTTTTCCAGTTGGAGCGCAGGGGTGATCATGTACACCCTTCTCGCAGGTTCCCCCCCGTTCTGGCACAGAAAGCAGATGCTAATGCTACGTATGATCCTCGCAGGAAGCTACCAGTTCACCTCTCCGGAGTGGGACGATCGATCAGACACTGTCAAAGACCTGGTGCGTCTGGCGCACACCTGGGAGTAATCAAATGAAGATCTACTAACCTGCACTCTGTGGTGTTCACTGGGTGTTTCAACTTTCAGATCTCCAGGCTGTTGGTGGTGAATCCCGAGAAACGTTACACCGCCACGGATGCCTTAAACCACCCTTTCTTTCAGCAGTACGTGGTCGCAGAGGTGCGACATTTCAGCCCGTACAGGAAGTTCAAGGTGGGCTCTATAATTAAGAATAATGTGTAATTATTGATTTATTTAGCTGTTTTTCTTGCATATTTGTAGGAAAACTGTGGATCAAATTATGTGCCATAATTAAAGAACAAATCCAGCATTTTGCAAACAAACTCGATTTGCTTTGCAAAGGAAAACTCGCAAAAGAAAACCTCAAGATGTTTATTATAAATAAATCCATCCATCCATCTTCTTCCGCTTATCCGGGGCCAGATCACGGGGGCAGCAGTCTAAGCAGAGATGCCCAGACTTCCCTCTCCGTAGACACTTCCTCCAGCTTTACATAGTCCCTGCAGCGTGTCCTAGGTCTTCCCCTGGGTCTCCTCCCAGTGGGGCGTGCCCGGAACACCTCAGCTGACCCCTCTCGATGTGGAGGAGCAGCGGCTCTACACTGAACTCCTCCTGAGTGACTGAGCCTCTCACCTAAGGGATCTCTAAGGGATCGCCCAGCCACTCTGCGGAGAAAGCTCATTTCTCATGCCTGTATCCGGGATCTTGTCCTTTTGGTAATTACCAAAAGCTTGGACCATAGGTGAGAGTAGGAACGTAGATTGACCAGTAAAGCGAGACCGGTACATCGACCGCATTACTACAGAAGCTGCACCGATCCGTCTCTCAATCTCCCGGACCATCTTTCCCTCACTTGTAAACAAAACCACAAGATACAGAAACTCCTCCACTTGATGTAGGATCTCTCCACCAGCCTGAAGTGAGCAAGCCACCCTTTTCCGACTGAGGACCATGGCCTCGGAATTTGGAGGTTCTGATTCTCATCCAAACCGCTTCAGACTCGGCTTCAAACCATCCCAGTTCATGCTGAAGGTCCTGGTCTGAAGGGGCCAACACGACAACATCATCTGCAAAGAGCAGTGACGAAATCGTGTGGTCCCCAAACCTGACACCCTCCGGCTCCTGGCTGCGCCTAGAAATTCTGTCCATAAAAATTATGAACAGAACTGGCGACAAAGGGCAGCAATGCCGGAGTCCAACATGCACTGGGAAGAAGTCTGACTTACTGTCGGCAATGCGAACCAAGCACCTGCTTCGGGAGGGACAGGACCGGACAGTCCTTAGCAAAGGACACCGGACCCCATACTCCTGGAGAACCCTCCACAGGCCGCCTCGGGGGACACAGTCGAATGCCCTCTCCAAATCCACAAAACACATGTGGAATGGTTGGGCAAACTCCCATGAACCCTCCAGGACCCTGTAGAGGGTATAGAGCTTGGCCAGTGTTCCACGGCCCGGACGAAAACCACACTGTTCCTCCTGAATCCGAGGTTCCACCTTCGACGTATTCTCCTCTCCAGTTTCCCGGCATAGACTTTCCCAGGGAGGCTGAGAAGTGTGATCCCCTTGTAGTTTGAACACTCCTCCGGTCCCTTTGTTCTCTTAAAAAGAGGGACCACCACCCCGGTCTGCCATCCCAGAGGCCCTGTCCCCGACCGCCACTCAATGCTGCAGAGGCGTGTCAGCTAAGACAGCCCCACAACATCCAGAGACTTGAGGTACTCAGGGCATATCTCATCCACCCCCGGTGCCTTGCCACCGAGGAGTTTCTTTACTATCTCTGTGACCTCAGCTAGGGTGAAGGGCGAGTCCACCCCCAAGCCCTCAGCCTCTGCTTTCTCAATGGAAGACGTGACGGCGGGATTGAGGAGATCCTCGAAGTATTCCTTCCACCGTCCGACGGCATCCCTAGTTGAGGTCAACAGCCGCTCATCTCCACTGTAAACAGTGTTTGTAGGGCACTGCTTCCCTCTCCTGAGGCGCCGGACAGTTTGCCCGAATCTCTTCGAGGCCAGCCGATAGTCCTCCTTCATGGCCTCACCTAACTCCTTCCTGCCTCCACAACCACCCGGGCTGCAGTCCCCTTGGCCTGCCGGTACCTGTCAGCTTCCTCAGGAGTCCTACAAGCCAACCAGGCCCGATCGGGTTCGGGGATTGCCGCCTCGACAGGCAGCGGACACCTTACGGCCACAGCTCCGAGCAGCCGTTTCGACAATGGAGGTGGAGAACATGGTCCACTCGGACTCAATATCTCCATCCTCCTTCGGGATCCGGTCAAGGCTCCGCCGGAGGTGGGAGTTGAAGTAAAAAAAATAAAAATACGATGGATGTCAATGAGGTCCAACAACTGTCTGCTTGCCGACGTTCTTCAAAATATATTTTATTGTGTTCAGCAGAAGAAAGAAAGACATACAGATTTGAAACAACATTTTAAACTGAAAATCATCTGTTTTTGCACTGTCTCACCACTGAACCAGAGAACCATTGTGCGTGTCTGAGCAACACCCGGTGGTGTTTCGTAAATGAATGAATCTGCGTTTCTGAACAGATCAGTGGAGGGAATAATTCAATGACCCATTGACAAAGACAGGTTGCTTTTGGAATCGCATAATCTCTCTAAATAAGTCATTACTTTGCGAGCACTAAAAAAGTATGTTCTATATAATATGAATGTGTGTAATATGAATGCAAACCAGACCTACTACATTCGCCACGTTGTTATAATCATGTGATCTACCATCGTCAGTTGTGTTGCATTATCTCGCCGGAAGTAAGAGGTCATCCAGGTACTTTTTGCCTACTCTTTTATGAGCACTGTGAATCCAAATCTTGTCACATACTGTTTTTTGTCTACTATAACAGGAAAGTGTGCGATTTGCGATGTAGTCATAGTCACTATAACAAAATTGTTGAATAAATGATTCAATGACTCCCTAATGGTGGTTTTAGTTTTTAAAAATAGACTATAATTTCATTTTTTAAATGTAAGAATTTGACATAAAATATGGTGTGTACAGAAAAACTTTACAACTTAAAAAGGCAAACAATGCCCATGGAAAACCCATGTAGGTTCATTTTATTCACTTGTGTTTTTCAGGTAATCTGCATGACAGTTCTGGCAACGATGCGCATTTACTGCAATTATCGACGTGCCAAGCCAGTTACCAAAGAAGTGATCAAGAGTGACCCCTATGCCGTAAAACCCATCCGCAAGCTCATCGATGCCTGTGCATTCAAGATTTATGGACACTGGGTGAAGAAGGGCCAGACACAGAACAGAGCTGCCCTGTTTGAGAATACTCCCAAAGCTATCTTGCTTTCTCTAGCAGCCGAAACAGATGATTCAGCTCTCAGAATGATTTAATAAATGTAAGCGCTCTGCAGGAAAATATGTTCAAGAAATATGCATGACATCAGTACCTCACACTGCGTGACATTGTGAGATGTTTCAATATTTCATTCATTTTGCCTTGAAGAGTTGCATTATTGGCCTTCAGCATTTACTTGTTATTAAAAGCCTTGGTGAAGCTGAAGTATTTATGTACGTCCAACCTGGATAGCCGAAGTTCTCATGCTCATTCAGGTCATGTTTATTTATTCTGTATGATAAATTATTTTAAATATTAAAACGAACTAAATATTTGAAACGTTGTATTTAATGTGGGGAGAGAAGAGGTGCTACAGTACTTCCAGATCTTTCAAATACCTTTGAACTACTAGACCCCAATGGTGTCAAAAAGTCTTCTCCATACGCTGATTTCAAGCAGCCGTCATTTTGAAATGGCTCCGGTGGGAAGAAAACCAGAAGTGTCGCTTTAAATCACAGGAGAGTCGCGAATGCGATGGCGTATTGTTGTGTTTAATGTAGAAATTTGTTATTCTAAAAATGTACATACATTTCTTTTATAGTTTAGACTATATACAGTTAAATTTATAAATTCATTTTTTAAATATATATTTAGAACGAACTATGTACATATCCTATATTGGATATTTACATCTAATAGTTTAAAACGTGGCAGCAGCTTCAGGTTGGTAGCCCAAGACGTTGTTGTCTATCTGTACTTCCGGGATTCTTCCCACGGGAGCCTCGCTTTCGATTTCAAAATGGCTGCTGCGTGAAATCAGCGTATTGACGGCCATTAAAATATTAAATACAATAGGCAATAAAATAGCAAATGAATAAATAATAGATAAATAATTGTTGCCTTTAAAAAGAAGATATTTTTAAATAATACGGCAGCCATTGACATCCATTGTATTTTTTTACTATGGAAGTCAATGGGGTCCATCAACTGTTTAAGTACCAACATTATTCAAAATATCTTCTTTTGTGTTCAACAGACGAAAGAAACTCATACAAGTTTGAAACAACTTAAGGGTGGGTGAGTAAATGATGACAAAATTTTCATTTTTGGGTGAACTATCCCTTTAACTTATGAATATTAATTAGGTTTCTTGACGCTCTGATGACGCTCTAGAGAAAAAACGAGGAACGTCAGCACGTCAAACTTAATATTCATTAGATACGCGTTTCCACGTGTTGTGTCCTTCTATCTCTTGTAGTTTTTACACTTCCGCCGTTCCATGTGTATATTTTCGTTTACTAAGTTATAACAATGGCTACTAAACGTCAAAATGGGGATCCTCCTGAGTCCGTTACAACACCAAAGAAAACCAAAACACAGGAAGGCGAGTTTAACGGCGCCGTCTTTAAATCCATGCTGAAGGATTCCTCTAAAGCGATGAAGGGTGAGTGTTTGTCCATCAGCCAACACATGAAAACATGACAAATCAAATACGATTCGTGTACATTGTTCATCTATAATGTTCTCTGAACGGCAAATATCACGGTACAGTCTTCATCTCCCCAGACTTTTATTTTGTTTTCATATTTTGTTGTGCATGCGTAGAACTAGTAACGTCAGTAGTTGAAGTCAAAATGCAGAATAATACGCAATTATTGCTTATTAGATATCCATTTATTAATACTAGTAACTTATTGCATTCATTGAAACTACTAAATCTACAGTTTGTAAAAGAATGTGTACTCTTGATTATTGTCAATAGTTTTGCAATGTAAGTATAAATACCCTGTAAATGGCAAGCCGGTTAAGCTTTTATTCATTTCCAGGATATGAATTCTTGATATCAACAATTTAATTCTTGATATCAAAATATCTGTAATTGTATTTTCACAAGTGAAATTTCACCATAGGCTGCCATTCAAAATAAATTGTTGATATCAAGAATTGTTTTTCTACTAGTAGAAATATCATTTTTGATATTAATAATTACATTGTTACTAGTAAAAAAAATGTAAATTCCTGATATCAATAATTAAATTTGGTAATGCTTTCTTTTACTGTACAGTACTTACAGTGTACTTACAGTGTACTTACCTAGAAAGTACTGGTATAATATATACTAATACTAATATAACTAAGGTAAGTACATAGAACAGGGGTAGGTTTAGGGGTAGGTTCAGGGTTAGTACTAGTTATTACCCAGTAATTTTAGTTAGTAAAATAAGTACATAGTATTTACATGGGTAACTGGACTGTAAAAGGAGGCGTTACCTTAAATTGTCACTAGTTGAAAAATGTCTATTCTCGATATCAACAATTCAATTGGTACTAGTTAAAATTGTTATTTTTGATATCTGAAAATTTATTTCTGATATCAATATTATTTCAGATACCTAAAATGGCTTTCTTACGAGTAACAATCACATTCATGAAATCAGAAATTAACATTGTCACTAGTAAAAATGTAATTACTGATATAAAAAATGAACATTGTTACTAGTAGCAATTAAATTGTGGATATCAAGAATAGACATTTCAGCTACTAACAATTGAACCCCTGATATCAAAAATAAAGTTTAATTGTATTTAATTGTACAATAATTGTATTTTTGATATGTGAAATTGGAATTACAACTAGTAAGAACAACAGTTGAATTTGAATGGCAGCCTATGGTGACATTTCACTAGTGAAAAAAATGTAATTGTTGATATCAATAATTCATATCATGGAAATGAATAAAAGTTAAAATGGCTTGCCATACTGTATACACCCTTGTGTGTGTGTGTGTGTGTGTGTGTGTCTGTGTGTGTGTGTGTGCATAGGTAGATAAGATTAGATGTACATAATGTTCATCAATGTCTATATACATATACATAGACTAGATTATTTGTATGACAGTGTGTGTCTAAGATAAGAAATGTTATCATGGCATATTAACATGTACTTCTGTAATACATGTAGGTTTGGACACCTTCATAAAAATGGCGAAGAAACTCCCCAGCCCAGAACTCTATGATGTAGTCGAGGGATACATCAAAATCTCAGTTGAATGTTCAGAGATTTTCGCATTACTGGAGGAAGAAAATAATTCAGAGGCAGAAGTAAGTCATGCATTAGAATTTCGATTTTCGATCTATTTACTTATATATCATCATGGGGTTACACTTTATTTTGATGGTCTACTTTAGACATTCTACTATTAATAACTTTCCAACTACATGTTAACTAACTCTCATTAGAGTATTAGTAGACTGTAGTAGACTTATGTTAGGGTTAGTAGAATAAGTTGACATGTAGTTGCGAGCAAAGTTACTTACAGTCAGTAGAGTGTGTGTCGGAGGATCATCACAATAAAGAGTTAGCAGATATTAAGCAGACAGTTTACGACATGTAGTTGCAAAGTTACTTATAGTCTGTAGAGTGTATTAAGTGGACCATTTGAAATAACGTGTTACCTTTATTATTTTAATTTAACCAGGATTTTGGCAGATTTATTTCTGTGTTTACATTGTAACACTGAATAATGCCTTTTTTAATTGATAGTATATGAAACAACATGCAATAAGAAATATTTGGACACTGTGGTCATAATGACCGTACTATTTTGAGCATAATTCAGTAGGTGGTTTAATCTCAGAAATAAACAAAGACTTTTTATTTAATTTTGTAAAAGTGTCTTCGTCTCATAGGAAATGGAAGTTCAAGTCACACTGTATTGTTGGATACAGACAGTATTAAAAATGCTATACACCATTTTGGCATTTATAGTAATTAATCTCGGTATCCCATACTTATGGAGTATTAGCACACTATTCATGCTGCCAACCCTTATGAATTAATGCATGTTTTAGCAGATTTATGAATGATTGTTTCCATCACAGAAATAAAAAAAATAAAAAAGTGCAACTTTTTATCTCAAAGTTCTGTCCCCCCCTCTCAAATTTGCTAGTTTACTTGTGAAAATTCAGAGAAAAAAGGTCAGAACTTTATAAACTCCAAAATGTGAGAATTAAAGTCAGTTTTTATTCGAAACTTGCAATTGCATTAAAAAAGTTTTTTATTTTTATATATTTTAATTTATATCTCACAAATGTCACTTTTTCGGTAATGCTTCCTTTTACAGTACACTACTTACAATGTACTTACCTAGAAAGTACTGGCTAATATAAGGTAAGTACATGGAACAGGGGTAGGTTCAGGGGTAGGTTCAGGGTTAGTACTAGTTATTACCCAGTAATTGTAGTTACTAAAATAAGTACATAGTATTTACATGGGTAACTGGACTGTAAAAGGAAGCGTTACCACTTTTTCTCGCAATTCTGAGTTTATATTTTACAACTTTGAGGAAAAAGTTGTGAGTTGACATCTCGAAACTGACTTTTTTTCTCTCAGGAATTCAAGATATAAAACTCAAAGTCTGATTTGTGTGATAAAAAGCTGTGAAATTTCAGAGAAAAAAAGTTGAATCGTGAGTTATAAACTCTGTAATGTGAGAAATAAAGTCAGACTTAAAGTTGTGAGATAAAGTCACAATTACCTTTTTTAATTGCAAACTTGCAATTGCGTTAAAAAAGTTGTTGAAATTAAAAAAAAAGATAATTGCAATTTTTTTATTTGGGTTAATATCTCACAAATGTCACTTTTTTTCGCAATTCTGAGTTTATATTTTACAACTTCGAGGAAAAAAAGGGCAGAATTGTGAGTTGACGTCTGGAAACTGACTTTTTTTCTCAGGAATACAAGATATAAAACTCAAAAAAAAGTCTGATTTGTGTGATAAAAAGCTGTGAAATTTCAGAGAAATAAATGTCCGAATCGTGAGTTATAAACTCCGTAATGTGAGAAATAAAGTCAGACTTAAAGTTGTGAGATAAAGTCACAATTAACCTAATTAATTGCAAACTTTTGCGTGAAAAAAGTCACAATTGAAATTTAAAAAAGATAATTTCAATTTTTTATTTGGGTTAATATCTCACAAATGTCACTTTTTCTCGCAATTCTGAGTTTATTTTACAACTTCGAGGAAAAAAGGGCAGAATTGTGAGTTGACGTCTCGAAACTGACTTTTTTTCTCTCAGGAATACAAGATAAAACTCAAAAAAAGTCTGATTTGTGTGATAAAAGCTGTGAAATTTCAGAGAAATAAATGTCCGAATCGTGAGTTATAAACTCCGTAATGTGAGAAATAAAGTCAGACTTAAAGTTATGAGATAAAGTCACAATTACCCCATTAATTGCAAACTTTTGCGTGAAAAAAGTCACAATTGAAATTTAAAAAAGATAATTTAAATTTTTTATTTGGGTTTATATCTCACAAATGTCACTTTTCCTCACAATTCTGAGTTTATATTTTACAACTTTGAGGAAAAAAAAGGCAGAATTGTGATTTGACACCTCAAAACTGACTTTTTTCTCTCAGGAATACAAGATATCAAGTCCGATTTGTGTAATAAAAAGCTGCAATTGGCTTTTTCAAGCTTCCACACAGACCAGCCAACATTAGTTGTTCTCGCTCCACAAAGAGAGGCGTTTGGCATTGATGAATGGCCTGTAATGTGTTTTGCAGCTGACGCTGATATTCCAGAGTCTGGAGATGATCCTGCTGCGCACGGCCAGTGATCTGTCTCAGCTCAGCATGGTGGGCTCCAACATCGTCAGGAAGACTGTGTCCTCTCACATCAAACTCCTGCTCTCCTCTCTACATTCTGACAATCACAGGTGTTTCTCACGCATATATCCTAGTCTGCCTGATATATATGCAAGTAATAAGGTACGAGAGGCCGTGCTGTATCGGGAATAAGTTTGTTAGGCTCGACCTAAGCCCTTCAGTCGTCACTTATTCACTATACAGCACTAGCCTCGAGTACCTTATTGCTTTTAGAAAACGGTTACCACACAATAGAAATATTAAAGTTAAAATAATATGTATTAGTTCAACTTTCGTGAAGTAAAATCACTAAAAGCCTTCCTTCCGCTAGAAAAAATAGTCCCTGACCAGCGGTCATAGCCGTGTTTTATCGTGAATAAAGCACAGCTATTGACCAATCAGAATCAAGGATTGGAAGTAACCGTTTTATACGCTTGTTTAACTTTTTCATTATGCCTTTTTTTCATGATCATCTTTAGGACATTATCTTTATTGGTTTTCAGGTGCTGAAATGTAGTGCATCTTGTAATGAACCACTTTTGAAAACAAACGCCCTCAATGTTGTTTGCGCACCTGTTTTGTTTTTGGGCAGGTTTGTCCGTCAGTGTCTGTGTTTGCTGTCCGCTCTGGTGTCTCAGGGTGCGGAGGCGGCGAGGGAGATCTTCGGGCTAATGCAGTTCAGCAAAGGTCTCACTAACCTCGCTCAGAGAAGAGACAAAACGGTAAGTGCTTCACACACTGCAAACTTTACAATTTCATTCAATCACTTTTATCTAAAGTGTCTTACCAATGGACCAAAATAAGACTCTTTACCTCATACTCACACTTAAGTCAATTAATTTACCTTTATTTAACCAGGCAAGTCATTTAAGAAGTCTGGTGAAACACATATAAACAGACAATACATATACATATGCATACACATTAAATACACACTAAAACATTGACAGGCTGTGATAAAAAAAACAAACTCCCTGTTAGTTTTTTAAATGCCAAAATGCCTTTATATAGCATTATTTCATAATACGCATTGTTTTAAAGCGGCTTTACTGAAAGTCATGATGTTAATATTTATAACTAGTTAATATTCTCATGCCTTATAATCATATTTAGCAGATTGGTTTACATATACTCTACATTCTCCAATGATGCAAGCAATCAAGCTGTTGAGATTTGCTATATATTATATATTGCTTTATGTAAAAGTGCTGTATGTATGTGAATAAAGTTGGACATATTTATATATTATACTTATATAAAGAGCATATGGCTACAAAAGCAGACAGTTGAGATTTTTGCAATATATTTAACCCTCAGGCGCTCTTCGTTTCAGAGTCACACATGTTATCTTCCCGGTCAAAAGTGACCGGACACCTAAAAATGAAACTTTCTCCATCCCAGTAAAACCAATGCAATTTATTTTTGTTCTATAATATTTATTATTTTTAATTTAGTATTTTGAGACAATTTAAATGAATTTATTAATATTTATGCAATATTTATGGTTTATTTTTTGCCATAGAAAAATATATATTATTTTCTATATATATATTATTTTCTTCAAAAAAATATTAATGCAGTATTTTAGTTTAATATAGAGTCTAGGCCTTCAGAAAAAAATTATTTTTTGAAAAAAATTTGTAATTCTTATGGGGTCATTTTTGACCAAAGACCACAAGTGTGACTATTTTTTTAAGACCACTTAGCATGCTCAGATCATGACCTCAATTTTTTTGTGTGTTCACATACATAATGCCATAAAAGTCTCCAAGTTTCGTAACATCGCGATGAAGCTGTGATTTTTAAAAATTCAAAACATACTTTTTGTAATCAAATTTTTGGTGTGTATGTGTATAAAAGTGTGTTTGTATGTGTGTGTGTGTTGGTGGGTGTGTCTGTTTTGCACTCTAGATGTTGTAGAGTGTCACCCCTTTCTTGCGGTGTACTTTTTTTTTTTTTTAGAATTGTGGCCGATTTGTAGATTGTACATACAAAAATTCAGAGAATTTTTTTTTTGTCAATTTCCCATTCATTTCCTATGGTCGGTCATTTTTGACAGAAGAGCAAAAGTGTGACTCATTTTTTTACGACCACTTAAATTGCTCGAATCATGACCTCAATTTTTTTGTGTGTTCACATACCCAATGCCATAAAAGTCACCAAGTTTCGTAATTTTCTGAAGAAGCTGTGATTTTTAAATATTCAAAACAGATTTCTTTAATCACAATTTATTGGTGTTTTTGTGTATAAAAGTGTGTGTGTGTGTGTGTGTGTGTGTAGGGGTGGGTATGTCTGTTTTGCACTCTTGATGTTTTACAGTGTCACCCCTTCAATGCTGAGCACTTTTTTTTTTGCATCGTGGCCGATTTGTAGATTGTACACACAAAAATTCTCAAAGTTTTTGTGTTTTTGTCAATTTCCCATTCATTTCCTATGGTCGGTCATTTTTGACCGAAGAGCACAAGTGTGACTATTTTTTTTAAGACCACTTAGCCTGCTCGGATCATGACCTCAATTTTTTTGTGTGTTCACATACATGATGCCATAAAAGTCACCAAGTTTCGTAACATTCCGATGAAGCTGTGATTTTTAACATTTCAAAACAGAAAATTTTTCGGTCAGAAATGACCGAAGAGCACCTGAGGGTTAACTTTACATATAGTATACTGTATTTATGTGAAGAAAGCTTTATATATAGAGTTCTAGTTTCAGTTTTGTGATGACATGAACAATCATACAGATGAGATTTGATATAATATATGACTATATTATGGTATAAATTGCTATGCATGCAAGTAAGTATAATGTACAATCAATCCTACTTTTAATATCTCTCGCCAATAATATTTGTAATTTTTTGCCGATATATCGATCAAGCAGTTGAGATGTGCTGGACAGGACACACACACCACTTAACATGAGTGTACTGTAGTTTGATTTTCATTGTGTTATTTTTCCAGGGAAAGCCAGATGTTCGAATGGCTTACATTCAGTTTGTCCTTTCATTCCTGATGTCTGGAGACAATACAACCATTGGCCAGATACTGGACACTAAAGGTATCAGTGACTGAATCTGTGTGCGTTATCGATTTTGCTTTTGAGTTGTCTTAAAATAAATAATTGTCGTCCACTCTTTAGATTTCTTGTCTGAAATCTTGACCAATGGACTTACAGACGATAGGATATCCATTGTAAACCTGATTCTGTCCACCCTGCAAACCAGAGTAAGACGCTCCCGCACGAATGCCATTGACCACTGTGAGATGCTGTGTATGACTGTGTGCTGTTTGTGTCCGCAGGTTGTGCAGAATAAGACCATCACGAAAACTCAGAAAGTGCGTTTCTTCAGTGCTTCTGTACTGAGACAGATAGCCTCGCTCTATAAGTGGAACGGGATTGTGGATGTCAGCATGGATGAGAAAGAGGTACAGTGGAGATTTGGACACACTTGCACCCAACGACACCATGTTTGAGTTACTGGGACAGTGCACATTAATAAACATGTATGTCAATGTGCTCATTCTCAGCTGTAGTCCTCAGGCAGGTGTAATGTCAGATAAAATACATAAAAAAAAAATCAACAAGACTTATACATACAGTAGACCGCATTTCATTACAATACATAAAAGACATTAAAACATAAAACATGTCTCTATAGATACAGTCCGCAACACATCATATACTCGGGGCGTGGAATCAAATCCTGCTTAAAATAAGAATCCATTCATTTCTAGGTTTACAATTCTCCAATAGATTTGACTGAATTAGAAAGTTAAATATGACTTTAATGACTATATAAAATTTTAAAGGGATGCAAGGAGACCATTTTCCTCAGGACCGATCCGATAGAAAAAATTCTGAGTATCGACCGATTTATTTATTATTTTTTATGAAGTATAATTTCTATAACTGTGTGTTGAACTGATAATCAATCTTTTGTGTGTTAAACACATTTTACTTCGTTTACATCGTCTTGTCTGTCCGCTCGCCTCACTCTCGAGATAAATGAAATCCCACTCCTGCTGTTGATCTGTGCTGCGGCTCTCGCTGAATTGAGCAGACTCTATTTTCTGTTGTAGAAAATATGAACTAATAATCCCATAACATCCATTTCACTCCTTATTATCCAATCAAACAAGTCTCGTCCTACATTTCCCACTGAATGTTCTGTTGTGCTCAGAAAGGCATTACATTATATTACATTATAAATGTTGAAATGCTTTTCATATTGTCTAAGTTTTTGTATCCATAATGAACATGTTTTGTAAGCAGAAGGATGAAGAGGCAGGGAGGCGTATAGTGAGGGAGCTGGTGCATAACTTCCTGCTGGACATATGCTGCTCTCGCAAACATGGGATCAGCTTTCATGACCCGAGCCTGGGCACCGCTGGAAGGTGAGTCCTCGAGGCGCTCATGTTGGCAGTCTTGCAATGTGTTTCTCAGTTTATTTAACAGGGTCAATGGGTAGTCCACGACTGCCCTAGAATTAGGATGGGAAACCTTTGGGTCATTGCAGAGAATAAGCTCTGTAACTATCAGAAGTTTATGAATCTTAC